TATTTATTTATTCATAACCTAATCAAATATTTTGTTTCAAATAATAATTAATAGGGTAATTTCAATTAATTCTAAAAAAAAAAAAAAAATACTCTAATTTAATGTTGACTTTGTTTAAACCTTTTAAATACAAATAATTGTTAATTAAACAACTTATTAGCGTATTGTTATTTATTTGAATGTATTTTTATATAATTTACTGTAAAGTAATAATGTAAAAAAGTGAGAAACAGAGAGTATGCATAAGACACCTCAATACAATATGCTATTACATCCAATTTAGACTAGAGAATTTCCTCCAAAGTGCTTTAAGAATGAATCACAGAACATAAGCTGTAAAGGTAGAGGACTTAAAATACGAATATCAACATTGATGTTTACTGCAAAGTTTTGTGTATGGAGTGAATAGTTTGATTTTTTTAATTGTATAATATGTTTTTTGTATAATTTCAATAGTTCTATTATTATAAATAAGTACTATGTAAACGAGACCAACGTTTATAAATGGAATCTTTGAGCGACCTATGCAAAATCGGATCTTTTTGGTTTTATCGGCTTAAATCACATTGCGTGATAATTTGTACAATTTATAGTACTTACAAGATTATTTTTATTTTTTTCTTGTTTGAATTATTGGGCGTTGTGGCCCGTTACCCGCATATTTGGTAGGAAGATTTCGGTTCTTGGTGCAGGACTCGGAGCTGTGCTGTTCTCTACAGCGTACGCATCAAAGCTGTTGCATTAATGTCGTGTATGACCGTAATTTTGACAATTCATACACTGTAGTAATAGATTGCGTGCTTTTGGTGCCTCAACTTTGATTTTGGTTTAGCAAATTGAGGTTAGCGTGAAAATGTCTTTATTATTTTAGAGCGGGTTCGAGGTCAATAAAAAATCGACTTTGTTTCCTTTTAAATATTTTATAACTGAGCGACAACAATTGATTGTTTCAGTTTGAAGTCTTAAGGCGTTTATTGTATTTTTGCATGTGGATCCGATTTGATTTTTTTATATCAGTGCAAAAAGAACTGTAATCATTTATTTTGGTTTTGATAAATATTGGAGGTAGTTTTTTTTTCTATGGCCGGGACGTTTTTGTACATTGTCTCGGTTTGGTAATTTTTGTCAACTATTGACAAAGAGGCATAACGATTTTCTGTGATAAATTTTAAATTTTGTTGATTTATAGTATTTTTAGATTTAGGAAAGTTCCCTGTGGAAGAATTTTTTGAGCGCTTGTGTTTATCAATGGAAGTTACTACAACCCAGTCGTAATTAAAGACGTCATCATCAGGTATGTTAGTTTTTGTGTTTGGTGATACATTGCGAGACAGTTCAGTAAAATAGGATTTTTGTATAATGTTTTGAATAATTATTTTTATTGGCGATAGGTATAGATTTGTTATTCATTACGGAGTTTTTGTTTTGTTGTTCAGTGCGAGACTAGTATGAGATTTAGATTGTGTGCGCACTTTAAAGTCCAAGTTATGTGATTAGCGATATTATGAGTAGGTAATAATTTGGTATTACGTTTAATATAACGATAAATACGCAGGTACGTTAAATCAGTTGTCGTTTTGCCTCCGTAAGGGGAAGACCCTTTACATTTTTTCGGATGCAAAATGCATAGGTGAAAAGATACGTATACAATTTAGTGCAAAAAAAAACTCACTATTCAAACTGGTTAAGATAAAAAAAGCAAGATCAGAAAATAAGCGTGACACATCGAGTGCTGGACTGCGAACAATTATTAGTTATAATTAGAGAGCGGATCTTTAGGTTTTTACATACTATTTATTTTTAATGGTATTTTTATTGGCTTTATGTAGATTTACGAGGATAAAAATTGTGGACAATTTATCCATCATAGAGTTCGTAGGAAAACATTTATTTTGCATATTTTAGCATATTTTGGACATTAGATAATATTTAGTCTATCTTTTATGTTTTTAAATATATTCAATTATTGTTCATAAAAAAGCATATATTATTAATTTCTCGAGTTATGATTTTTCTAGGAAAAAAAATTTGATTATTATATTTATATTCCTATGTATGGAACTTTTATCCATTTTTTCCATTTAAATAATTTATCTTTTACCAAGGAATGGTGCATACAAATTGTTCATTGTTGTCATTTAATTATTTTGTTTTTTATACATAATTGTATTATATTTATACTCCTATATATGAACTGTTTTAAATTTTTATATTTAAATAATTTGTCTGTTACCAAAAGAATGGCCCATAGCAGTAATTTAATGTTTTTATTGAACTATTTAAGAAAAAAAAAAAAAATCATATTATCGTATATTTACAAGTTTAAGGAATATTTGGAGATTATTTTTGGGGTTTTTTTTTTTCATATTAGCATCATATTTTAAGCTTTTAAGAACCTAAAAATCCGCTCTTTAGTTATAATACCTATACAAAACACTAAAAATATTTTTTACGTAACACGTTTAGGTGTAGGTATGTTTAATAAAATAATTAATTTCAAAATATGTATTATGGACTGACAGCTATCGAAGTATATTGAAATAAAGCCAAATTCATATAACTATATAGTTATGTGTTTATGTTGGCCAAATATGAACTGCGTTACTATCACTTCTGAAATTATTAAATATAAAATAAGCATCTGAATACCTCAAAGCCCTTGGGATCAAAAATAATATTTTGAATTAACAATAAACAATATTTTAATAGTTATATGAAAAAATAATTAATGCAATTATTTTATTATATTATCTACCTATTTACTTTAGGACTATCACTCGTTATTTCGTTTAGGTCTGTTGTAATGCCTATATTATCTACATGCATTTTCTACTTATGAATGTTTAAAAAATGTATAACTATAAACTATTATTCCATACGAGGTAGAAATAAACAAATGCTCAATTATTTAGATTTCAAAACCAATACAAGGCAATGGTGATTGATCAGTCGCGGAGTGTCGCGACTAACGACATGTTTTGATTAAGCATTTAATTTTAATATTTTTAATTTTTTGATTGAAGTTATTATAATCCATTTTTGTTTTAAACAATATATTTGTTTTTCATTTCTATTTTCTAATATTTTAGGAGGATCAAATATCTAGTGAGTGTATTGAGTGTATTGGCAAGAAAACACTTTTGTAAAGTAATAAGATGTTTCTGTACTTACTTTCTCGTCTAAAAACTCGTTATTATGCCAAGTTGATAAAAGAACGATTTGGTCTATGTTAAAGAGATCTCACCCTCGAACTTCACTTTGATGGTTTAAGACTCAATAACTGAAATATATCTGTTATATACGACAAGCTTTTGGCGGGGGATATACGACAGGTCCTAAATCGTTTTTGTTTCTTTTTATCGGCAATAGCGTTTGTACACATAAGTAGGTATCATAATTAATTAATAAATATCTTAATTTTAATGAAGAAAAAAATAAATTAGATGTTGTGTCTAGTGCGTAAATAGTTGACATAAAATATTAGTAATAGTGCAAAATGTTGAGTGATTTCAACCATATAAAAACCACATGGTATAGTAGAATCTTGGCTTAATTCTTAAAATTTCGTATTGTTACATAAAATTGAAGTTAATATAACTTTTATATCAAATAATTACTATTTTTAATTTTTATTAAAGTTATCTGTAACAATGAATTATAGTTAAGGGTTCTGTTAAATTATATAGTTTTATAATTAAAGCATTACAAAAAATGTAAACAATATAATAAGTTAGTCTAAATAAGTTTTTATAATTAGTTACAAAAATGAAAAAATATCGCTTTTATAGTGCATTATATTATTACCAATAATGAAATTCATAACCATTAACATCAGATTTCAATAATTACAAAAAATAACAAAATTAATTTAACCAATCAAACATTTTGACTTTACGTTACAGTTAGAATCCAAGCTAATACCTCAATATTTTCTAAAATAACAATACATTTTCATGTAGAAAAAATTTTAACAAACTCAATGGAACCATACTGCCGTATTGCATTTTGAATATTTATTTATGTTCTTGCATATTTTTCTAGAAAAATACAATTGTTTTAATAATTGAATTCGATAAGCATGTTTTCTTTTTAATTTTCATGGAATATGTGTTATTGTCATTATTGCCAAGAATTGGTTGGGGGTAAAAAAAAAAAAAAAAGGAAAATCGGCATTGATCCAAACTCGCCGTAAAATAAAATCCCGTTATACTGTGTACATGTGTTATTGGGCTATAATATAATTGTTATACATTTTTTGCGGATTATATCATCGCGACCCGTTTTCAATCGGATTTAAAAACACAGATATTAGCAGTAGTATTAAGATTTATGACGATATAATGATAAGGTAAACATGTCACGGTATTGCAACGCAATATTCCAGGCCCGCTTGCTCACGATGTTTGCTAATGATGTGTTTCGCAATATTGCAGCCGCCTGGGATTCGTCTGGTGATGTAGCTACCTACGTACTATTATAGGACCAAGCGTTACCGCCTCTTGTCAACGGTAATAATTATAATAATAATAATAATAATAATAATAATAATAATAATAATATTGATAGTTAAAATTAAAATAGTGAGTTTATAACAGTTTTAATGACTTTTATAACAATAATAGCTAAAATTATATTTCACGTCGATTTCGGTCTCCTACGCTTAGCGAAAAAGGCACCCCCCTTCGGGCCGGTCCACGAGCCGAACAATCTGCTGTCACCGTTGACGTAATCACGCTGTGCATTCGGAAAGTGTCCGGTTACCCATTGAACGTTGGCCAAAGGAAATGGACGTGTATACCTTGATATGAGTGCAACAATAAAACGTAATAATTCTTATGGAGATAATTTGTGATCACCGTGCACTAGAACGCGGCAAAACGTTGATATAGACCCCGAACGAAATAGCGACCGTTCAGATGCTCGTTGACTTCGGTTGCGGTAAGGATTGACATCGGGCCACAAGGCAGTCGTGAACAAGCGAAAGAAGCGTACCGTGTTCATTACAATGCCACGAATCAACTCTCGAATAGAAAACTATTAACATTAATGTAAAATATTTAACAATATTACAAAAAGTTTTGTCAAATTAAAATAAATCGTAATTTTTTTTTTTTAATTTTCATAATTAAATAAAATTTGAAAAGTAAGCATTTACAATAAAGGGGTCCCCGGACCAATTTAAGTTATGGTTAGGGGTCCGTGGCTTCGTACCAATTGGGAACCACTGCCCTAGGGTACATCGGTACTCCAGTTGAAGATTATCGGATCAGGTGGTAGATGTTGAAAACCAACGAGACCTCTGCACGTATTATGCATCATGACTCGCACGATGAAAACACCAGACGACCGGCTTGCCGTGTATCGCTCACGACGGGGCTTGGCCGGTATACGTACGACTGTCGCTGGTATCTTATATAGTATATATATATATATACATCGTATGTAGTCGATCTGATGTTATAACACACACACACACGCATAAATATCTCGAGTGCCCCTCGCCCACCCACGGAAGCTTTGGGTTAAAAATAGAACACGAGCCTCATCCGACAGCTTCCGCGCCGTAGCCTGTTGCCGCCGGAAGACCGGGCCCGGCGTGCACATCATTATTAATAAATATACGCGATATATGTGAGCTGCGTGTACCGTGTACAATTCTGTGCCGCGTACGGCAACAATTTCTGTCCCTTTTTTTTTTTTTTTTCTTTTCTTTTTCCTACTCGTTTTCTTCGTATTTTTATTTGTTTTATTTTTTCACTCGGTTCATTTCGTTTCGGACGTACCTTCGAGCGTGTCACGTATTCGTGCGCTCATCGTCCGCGAGCACTGCCAGTCGTCGAACGCGTTCATACCGGTGTACACTAGGGCACGTACACACGTAACGGCCGTCCCGCGTCTGGCTTTCGTACACGTAAAACCGTGCTCGTATTCGAGGTATTTATAACATTAACAATAATAACGATCGTAGTAATATATTGTAAAACGGCCGCGCGACCAGAGACCAATGGCACTCGTAACGGATCGTCCGGACCGATAGAATCCTATGGAGATTTTGCAACTTGTAGTTGAAACACGAAAAAGTCAACGTGAACGGTGCCGTCTTCGCGCGGATTAGCCGATAGTAAAATGCAATTGTTTTACTCGAAAAACCGTACTACAGTATAATCGTACTACTGCAAGAACGAGTTGCAAAATGTCTCAAGCAAATTATAATATTCTACTCCGAACGTAATACTTACGTCATTATTTCAAATGTATTAAGCATAATATTATAATATAGGAATCGTACGGCAAGCGCAATAAGTGCAGGAAATGTTCGACGTTTCTATCTTTATCCCCACATCTTCAACACCTACGTGTTTTAATAAATTCAAAACATTTTAAACATACTGTATACACTCGCACTCTCCGTCTCAAAAACACAAACACACACACATACTCGAACGTACACGCGCACGCACAAGCACTGCAGCGCGCGCGCGCGCACATATACATGTACAATAATAATAGGAAAATAAAAAAATAAACCGTCTGCGGCCGACGTATGTGATGTATTTTAAAAATAATTATAACCATATACCTAAGCTCCGCGTACGATGTATTTCTCGCGGCCGGTCGCCGGCGATCAAATATACAGCAAAACGCCACAGCAGTACTTTGTATAATAATAGAAATTCATTTCAATACGCGACACGTTGTTCAATGTTGCTGGTCTTGTGTTTCTGTTCGTGTAGGTCCGATTGGATTTGAACGTCTACGTTTGAATAAAAGTGAAAAAAAAAAATCGAACGGATGAAAAAGAAATGCTTCAAAATGTACCTTAGTAAAGTCGAGAGCTGCAGTGTTCGTTTGAAACATCGTTGTTGAAAAAAAAAAACAAATTAAGAACAACGAGCGAATAAACATTAGTCGGTAGACGTACTCACACATCGCAATGGCCGACAGCGAAGGAAGTTCAGAGCAGGATGACGTATCGTTCCTTCGGACCGTAAGTTTTGATACGCACACATACATACGTAATGTGCCCAATTCGAATAGCACAAAACGTGTTATGTTCCCATCAGTTGAACATTTATTATTTCTGTTATTGAATGTTTTACATATTTACCCTTAATATACCATTAATACTAACAATAAATTAGAATCGTAAAATAAAATAAGTGCTTCATTAATAATACATTCTAAAAATAAAACTATGGTAGTTATAACATAATTGTCAAAATTGATTACAAATAAGTTTGTTGTAACTAAATAAAAATATGATGGACTATAAACAATTTAGAGTAAATTAATGAACAATTGAAATTACCTAGGACATTGAATTTACGACAACATGAATAGTTGATAAGATAGCTTCCAACTCTATTTTTTTTTATAGATGTGTGATAAATATTTACAGATTTAACAATAGTTAAATAATCTTATGATAAGTTAAGTAATTTTTATGATTTAATATTATTTAATTTAATCAATTAAGTTTCATGAAAAAACATCGTTTTATTGAAGTTTATATTATATTTATAATATAAAATGTACAGTACCGTATATATACTACATAAGTATATTTTTACAGGGGCATATAAAAGAAGATAGAATAAGGTTAATAATTATATTGTTGATAAGCCGAAAATGTCATATGCATCAATAAATAAATAAATAAAATATATGATATCGTAGTATAATATTTAGGATTATGTAATTATTTTTTAATTTCAAATATTGAGGTCGGTAAAAATATGATATTTACTTAACAACGTTTTTTTTTTTTTTTGTTATTCGAACTATTTTTGAATAGTATATGGTACCTATATTTTAAAGTTCAAATTCAGTAATAAAATATTTTCTTATGCAATATTTAATTAAAAAAAAAAAGTTAAATTTTATAATCATTTAAAATATAAATAGAATTTGTTAGGACAATATCTATATGAACATAATTTTATTTAATTTATTCTATATTATAAATTGAAAATTATGTTCCAGTAAGAAAAAGAAACCAAAAAGGCATAATTAATCGAATATGATCAAATTTTATTATTTATCATAAACCTATTACGTTTTTTTAGAATTTAAAAATAGCGTAAAATAAATAATTTTATAGTTAACCAAACGTTTAATTAAAAAAAATTAAATGATTAAAATGGAATTTCAAGATGTTTTAAATATCGTTATGATTAACCTTGTATTAAACCGTGTTTACTATATTTCTATCATTATGATACATAAATATAACCAATTCATGCATAGTGTTTTAATTTTAAGAAATAAAATTAGTTATAAAATATATAATAATTTTAAAATAATAAATATTCTATACTTACGTATAAATAATAATAAATAATATAAATTATATAACATATTTTCACGAATGTAAATAAAAATCAGATGCATTTTTTTGTTACTTTTTAAAGAATCTTTAAAGTTGTAATTGTTTATTTTGAAGGTTTTTATTAAAGTTTTAAATACTTCAATAAATCATCCGTACTTTGTTAATTAGTAAAATTACATGATTTTATCAATTTTAATTATTTACAAAATATGTAAATCACCTTTGATCAAAATTGATCAACTTATATATATTGTTTTTCTATAATGTAGTCAATGTATTTATACTAGTACAACGGTTCTTAACCTTTTGTAAATCACAGACTCCTGATGAAAGATCTATAGAAATTGCGGACCCCCCTTATTAATTTTTTTTTTTGAGTACATTTTTTTTCACAAAACATCTCATGTTATTAAAACCAAAATTATAATAATAAATTACATTAATAGACATAAAAAAACATACATATTTATAATTATTTTTATTTGACTTAATTTTTTAGTTAACTTAAATTTAATTATTTTAGTTTTAATTTCTTTTTTTAATATTCTTAAAATTTAATTTTTATTAGCTTTATACGCTGGTTGAGACACAAGTTTTATAACATCGTATAATGATAAAATCTATTATAATAAAATATACAATAAAAAATATATGAAAAAAAAAAAAAAATAATAATATTAATCCAACAATATTATCATAATGCACTTATGTCATGTATTGATGTATGTTATGTGTTAAGGCTGCCGTGGACCCCCTACATGATTATTACGGACCCCTAGAGGGCCGCGGACCACAGGTTAAGAACCGCTGTACTAGTATATTATACTATAGTTTATACTCACTAGCTTACTTTCAAAATATAATGATTATGTTTTTGAGTAATACTTGAAGCCTACAATTATTTTTGATTTATTTTTGTACTCTAGGTGCCAAATTTTTATGAAAAATTTAATATTTGTAAGAATGAAATTTATTTTATAGGAAGACATGGTATGCCTATCATGCACGGCAACCGGAGAAAGAGTTTGTCTTGCAGCAGAAGGATTTGGAAATCGACATTGTTACTTGGAAAATATTGCAGACAAAGTAATAAAAAAAATTAAAAAACTAAAATAAACTCATTTAATTAATTATTAAACGATTAAATTATTGCAGAATATTCCACCAGATTTATCTCAATGCGTTTTTGTTATTGAACAAGCGTTGTCCGTTAGGGCATTACAAGAATTAGTAACAGCTGCAAGTTCACAAGAAGTAATTATTATTACTATTTTAAATCGCAGTAAATATTTTTTATGTCATCTATGTACTCTTTCAGGGTAAAGGCGGAACTGGATCGGGTCACCGAACATTGCTTTATGGAAATGCAATATTATTGCGTCATCAAAATAGCGATATGGTTTGATTATTAATAAATAAATAGCAATTATATCATTCATTAATTGTATTTGTTAATACATATATATATATATATATATATATATATTAATAGTATTTAGCTTGTTTATCGACAAGTTCATCAAATGATAAATTATCTTTTGTATTGGCGAATGTTACAATTGCCATATTCCCTCTAATGCTCAGTGAAAGTATTTGGATATTTATAAATTTCTAACTGCTATGATTCGTCGGGTGAAACTCGTTAACTTTTTGATCAATCATTGTTCTTGGTTCATAAATATCGTTTTAAAAGGTCGTCACTGGTTATTAAAATATTTAAAACGGTTTCTGCTAAAATCCAAAATAAACAGTGTCTACAATGCCATGCTAATTAATTGAATATAAATAATGAAACAATTTTGTGTACATGAAAAGAATACCTAATGAATTATCTAATTATAGTAGCCACTCAATAATTCAAAATTCAGACCGAATTGAAAATTCGATTTATAGATGTTAACGATTTTTTTTTTTTTTATAGTATTTAGCTTGTTTATCGACAAGTTCATCAAATGATAAATTATCCTTTGACGTGGGTCTGCAAGAGCATTCACAAGGTGAAGCTTGTTGGTGGACCGTACATCCAGCTTCAAAACAACGATCAGAAGGTGAAAAGGTTCGAGTTGGAGATGATTTAATTCTAGTCTCTGTGGCAACTGAACGATACTTGGTATGTTTAAATATAGTTGATCTTATAATTAATAGTACTTAGTAAAAGAGTTCGGTAGAATTTATGTCTATCGACCTATTGAATGAAATAAAAAATAAAATAATTACAAAGTAATAAAATTAACCTATATACGTGATGATATCATTTTGTTTTTTAGCATACCGCTAAAGAAAATGAATTGTCTGTAGTGAATGCTTCTTTTCACGTAACTCATTGGTCAGTTCAACCATATGGTACTGGTATCAGCAGAATGAAATATGTTGGTTATGTTTTTGGCGGGGATGTACTAAGGTTTTTTCACGGTGGAGATGAGTGTTTGACAATACCGTCTTCGTGGAGCGATGTTTCTGGACAAAAGTACGTACTCAAAGTTCAATGAGTTCTAGCAGTGAAATATATTTATACTTTTATAAAAATATATTTTATATTTAATCAATATTAAATAATATACCAATCTTGTCATTAAATAAATCACATTTATATTTAATAATACAAGTAATTATTATCGTTTATGTATAAATTATAAATATATTATGTAAGTAAAAGGAAAGAAACCCATATGAATTTGAAATGTTGAAAAATATAAACCTACCATATTTAAATGATGACAAAATCTCAAATAAAATAATTAATATTATTAATGACTTACGTTAGCAAACACTTGTTACTTTTATAAAAATTGGTTTTGAATTATTTTTTTAAAATGTATGCTAAAAATAATATTTTTTTGTTTCCAAAATATATTTAGAATTAATTTATGGATATTTAAATATAACGATACTAGATTATGTAGTCACTTAGTTTTGTTTTTGAATACAATAACTGACTTTGACAGTACAAGAAACAGTAGTATTTAGACAAACATATTTTCGATGGCTGAAAAATACATTTTAAGACGCATATCTATAGATAAATACTTTATTTTACATTGGTTTAATATTTTATTGATTTACTGTCATATAGTATTGTCATTTATGAGGGCGGCAGCGTAATGAGTCAAGCAAGGTCATTATGGCGTTTAGAATTAGCTAGAACTAAATGGGCAGGTGGGTTCATCAACTGGTATCATCCTATGAGAATTAGACATCTGACAACTGGGAGGTATTTAGGAGTTAATGAAAACAACGAGTTGCATTTAGTTTGCAGGTAAACCATGTGTTAAATGAATACTTTTTTATTATTTTAATACATGTTTAATACATTCCTTATAACACAACAATATTTGATTATAGAGAAGAGGCTACAACTGCTTCTTCTACATTCTTTCTACGTCAAGAGAAGGACGACCAAAAAATAATTTTAGAAGACAAAGATTTAGAAGTAATAGGAGCACCAATTATTAAATATGGTGACAGTACGGTATTGGTACAACATTCTGATACTGGCTTATGGCTAACATATAAGGTACATTATTAATATACTACTTCAAAAATTCTGTAAATTATATTTATAGTATATATATTTTATACCATATTTTTAATAATTTATACAGTTTTATTTTTAAATATACAATTAGTGAAATCTTTCAATTATTAAGATTTACTAATAGATAATTAAATATTTTACTTAATACAAATTTAACATCGTGTATGTAAATATTTCTAAAGTATGAAACATTTATTTTTTTAAGTTTTAGTGTTAAATTTATAGTACGTTATCAACTATAAATTTACAATATAATGACAAACTGATATTAATAAGAAAACAAAACATTTTAACTAATTAAATAACTTATTATTTTTAATCCCTGAGTATATTTTACTTGTGCTAATTATTAATATTTTTATTTATTTTTTATAAACATAAAAAATTGAATCAATATATTTAATATTTTCTGTCTAAAATTATAATAACTTAAATTTAAAATATATATTTTTACTTAGTCTTATGAAACAAAAAAGAAAGGTCTGGGTAAAGTAGAAGAAAAACAAGCAGTATTGCACGAAGAAGGAAAAATGGATGATGGATTAGATTTCAGTAGAAGTCAAGAAGAAGAATCTAGAACTGCAAGAGTTATACGAAAATGCTCATCATTATTTACACAATTCATTTCGTTAGTATAAATAAAATGTTTTTTAAATGTTGTTTATCTCTAGTGATATAAAGTTATTTCTGTTATTATCATGAATCAATAATTATGCACTTATAGAGGCTTAGAGAATTTACAAAATAATCGGCGTTCATCATTATTTTGTTCATTTGTGAATTTAAATGAAATGGTCATGTGCCTTGAAGATTTAATCAATTATTTTGCTCAACCAGAAGATGACATGGGTAAAAACAATTACTTATTCATTTTATATCAGCAACAATAAAATTAGTTTTCAATCATACAATTTGTTAACGATTGTTTTGTATAAAAAAGAACACGAAGAAAAACAAAATCGGTTTAGAGCATTAAGAAACCGACAAGACTTATTTCAAGAAGAAGGAATACTAAATTTGATTCTAGAGGCCATTGATAAAGTTAATATTATCACCTCACAAGGATTCATGGTCAGCTTAGCAGGTGACGAATCTGGACAAAGCTGGGATGTGATTTCTGGTTATTTGTATCAATTATTAGGTTTGTAATAAAATGGTAAAAGTAATTATTATAGTGATATAGTTATATTTTAAAGTTAATCAGTAAAAATATTTATTAAATATAATATTATAATAAAACATTATAGCTGCAATCATTAAGGGAAATCACACTAATTGTGCTCAGTTCGCTAACACAAATCGCTTAAATTGGCTATTCAGTCGATTAGGATCTCAAGCATCTAGTGAGGGAACTGGTATGTTGGATGTACTTCATTGCGTGCTAATTGATTCTCCAGAAGCTTTAAACATGATGAAAGTAAGCATATATACATTAAAATCTATAATATGTGATTTGATCATATTTAATTTAAAAAAAAAATGTATTTAATTATAATATATTTTAGGACGAACACATTAAAGTTATCATATCACTTTTGGAAAAACACGGTCGTGATCCTAAAGTTCTAGATGTTTTATGTTCTCTGTGTGTTGGTAATGGCGTGGCCGTGAGAAGTTCGCAAAACAATATATGTGACTTTTTATTACCAGGAAAGAATTTACTTCTTCAGACTCAACTCGTTGACCACGTAGCAAGGTACAGTATTTTCTAAAAAAAACAATTAGTAGTACCGAAAGTGTAAAATCGATTATAGAAAGTGATTTTTAAATTGTTTCATTTAGTGTACGCCCCAATATTTTTGTTGGTCACGTAAACGGATCTGCTGTTTATCGAAAATGGTACTATGAGGTAGCTATAGATCACATAGAACAAACCACTCATTTGACTCCCCATCTTCGCATTGGATGGGCGAACACTGAAGGGTAACTAAATTAATTAAATTATTGTATCACTAACGGATTTTTAAAATAACTCCATTGAGCTTAGGTATCATCTTATGAGTACTGTTGAGTAATAAAAACCGTGTGATATAATTTTTAGTTATGTTCCATATCCGGGTGGAGGAGAAAAATGGGGTGGAAATGGAGTTGGTGATGATTTATACTCTTTTGGATTCGATGGAAGTCATTTATGGACTGGTAATTTTACTTAAACTTATTTATTTCAACGATTAAAATGTTTTTGTGTATAGGAGGGCGTAAGTCGGAAGTAATGCCTGGTACACAAATACCCAATATAAGAAAATCCGACGTTATTGGATGCGCATTAGATTTAACTATTCCAATTATTACATTTACTCTTAATGGTCAATTAGTCCAAGGAGCTTTTAGAGACTTCAATTTAGATGGGATGTTTTTTCCGGTAATAAGTTGCTCTTCTAAAGTCAGGTAATATAAAAATTTACTATTACTCATGTTAAATTATTAACATATTAATAATCATATTTTCATACACCTTAATATTTATTTATATATTGATGTATTAGCTTAGTATTTTGTCTTAAAATTGACGAGTTACATTTGTTTTTATTAATAATTTTTTAAATGATAAACATAAATAATAATTAATTGATTTACATTTTATCTATATTAAACAAGAATCCCTTTAATTGTTTATAAGATTATTATACCTTAGGTGATCTTAAATTTAAAAAACTTACAACCCACATCAAGTCGATTGTAAAATGTATCTAACATATCTAACATATTTTTTAAACTGAATAAGAATTTTAGCATAACTATCCATTTAAATTTTATTTATATGATATATTTATTTCTTATGACTATATAATTAATTATTAGTTAAATAGAAATATCAAAATAGTTATACTAGATATCTAAGGTATCATTGTATACTGTATACAATGTGAAGTACCATTAATAACTGTTACTTGAGTGAATAGCTTAGTTTTTATTTTACGGTTAATATTTTTGCTTATAAGCTTTTTTTTTTAAACATTTAAGTAATTGCAGTTTAAGGTTATTATTAAATTTTAAAACATTTATAAATCACATCACAAAAAAAAATATTTTATGTGTTATATAAAAAAAAAATTATTCAATTACACTAGCTTTTAATACGACTGTTTTGGGTTTAATATAGTTGTCGGTTCCTATTGGGTGGAGATCATGGCCGATTGAAATTTACTCCACCAGACGAATTTTCTCCTTTATTTGAAAGTTTATTACCTCAACAAATTTTAACAATCGATCCCTGTTTTTATTTTGGAAATTTAAATAAATGCGTACTTACTGGACCTTGGTATGTTGAAGACGATACAGCATTTGTTCCAAATCCGGTTGATACATCAATGGTATCTATTGATATAAAAATATAGATAGATAATTAATGGAACAATTTACTTGAGGTTTTGTATTGACTTTATAGATCACTTTGCCAAGTTATATAGAAAATATTAAGGATAAATTAGCGGAAAATATCCATGAAATGTGGGCAATGAATAAAATTGAAGCTGGTTGGCAGTATGGTGAAAATAGAAACGATACGAGAAAATACCATCCTTGTTTAACACAGTTTGATAAATTGCCTCCTGCCGAGAAACGATATGATACTCAACTAGCCGTGCAAACACTCAAGTCAATTACAATAAAATATATATATAATTATATAAAAAATATCGATCTATATTTTTTAAAATTTTACAGGACCATAATTGCATTGGGATATCATATAACTATTGATAATCCACCGTCTCGCATTAAAACCGTTCGATTGCCCAACGAACCGTTCATGCAATCCAATGGTTACAAACCCGCACCTCTAGATTTATCTGCTATAAACTTATCAAGCAAAATGGAAGAATTAATTGATCAGCTAGCCGAAAATACACATAACTTGTGGGCAAAGGAAAGAATACAGCAAGGATGGACGTATGGTCTAAATGAAGTAATGTTTTCTTAAATAATTGTCAAAACTAAACTAACGTATTATGTACCCTATTTTTAATATAAACATAATTTACAAATTGTATTGTACAGAGTTATCTAATATTTACTATTTAAGTTTTTTCAGATTACTAACAAATGTTCAATAATAATTAAATCTATTCATAACTGGTATATCTTGTAATAATGTAAACCTATAATATTTTATTTTATGTATTTTTTTATTTTTGTTATCAAAATAAATTCTAATGATGGTTTATTTTTTTTTAGGAACTACAAATGTTACGTAGTCCTCATTTAGTTCCATACAGTAAAGTAGATGATGCCATTAAAAAAGCGAATAGGTACTATGAATGACAATATAGAATCAACAACATATAATAAAACATATTATAATATTATTTACAGAGACACAGCGAGTGAGACGGTTCGTACGTTATTAGTATATGGTTACAATTTAGATCCTCCGACGGGAGAAGCAAACGAAGGTACATCTATTACATTCATTTTATGTTATGTGTATTTACCACTATTTATTTATTTCGTACTTTTTTATATATTTCGTATAGCAACACCTTTAACAGACGATAGTACTAACAGATATTTAACGTTCCGAACGTATCGAGCTGAAAAAACATACGCTGTTTCAAGTGGAAAATGGTAGTAATAACATTATTATCTCTTTAAATATTTTGAAGTTTATAAATACATTTTTTTTAGGTATTTTGAGTTTGAGATTTTAACAAGTGGACCAATGCGAGTCGGTTGGGCCAGATTTAACTGTTCTCCGGGGTATCAAATCGGTAGTGATGAAAATTCTTGGGCGTTTGATGGTTACAATGTATGTTAGCGATTAAAAATAAAATATTTATGAATGGATACATTTTAAGAAAAAATACTTAAAATTAAATAATATTTTGAAGGAGGAAAAAATGTATATGGGAACATCGGAATCATTTGGAAGACAATGGCAAATTGGAGATATAGTAGGAGTGTTTTTAGACTTAATGGATCATACAATAAGCTTTTCACTAAACGGTGAACTATTGATGGATACACTGGGAGGGGAAACAACGTTTTCCGAAGTTCAAGGAGAGGGATTTGTACCAGCATTTACGCTAGGGCTAGGTCAAAAAGCAAAATTAACTTTTGGTCAAGATGTGAATTCGCTAAAATTTTTCACTACTTGTGGACTTCAGGAAGGATATGAACCATTTTGCATGTATGTATCAAATAAGTGGAATATGAATTAAATTACATCATTTGATTATGTTCTTATTTTAGAAATATGAAGAGACCTGTTACGTATTGGTACACCAAGGATCAACCAATATTTGAAAACACCGATGATTTTCCATCTGTTATTGATGTGACTAGAATTCCTGCTGGTTCAGATACTCCACCGTGTCTCAAAATTAGTCATAATACCTTTGAAACAATGGAAAAAGCCAATTGGGAATTTTTACGGCTATCTTTACCAGTCATATGTCTTCCTACTTTCATCGAGTACGTTATTCGATTTTATTTTTGTTTGATTATAAAATAGTTTAACATATAATTTTTTAAGACATGAGTATATTTGTTAGAAAGTTTCGTATTTGATAAGAAATTTAAATGATTTAAATGCTCAAAATGATACTATATTATATATAACAATGTGATTAAAGTTATTTACTACCATAATTATAATTCTTTATAGAAATTAAATTCAATACAAATATTTTTTTTTATGTAGTGAACAAGAAAAACAAAGAAGATGGCAAGAAATTAGAATTAGACAACATAGGTTATTGTCACAATCGGAACATGCTACTCCTGCACATATTGAACAAATAATGAAATCTGGATTTTCAATGAGTGATATAAAAGGTTTTTAATTTAATAATTAATTCAAAATGATAATCTAAAATACAGGTTTTTTGTTATTTTATTATCTAAAGGTCTTCATCAAGGGTATTCAGACGACGCAGTAGAAAATGATGAAATTATGCCGAATGCCACTCCATTGCCACCAAGAGGCAAAAAGCAACCACCACCTCCGAGACCACCACGAAAAGGATCATTGTCAAGACATGAAGATATGATGATCGAAAATGGTATTGTACTTTTAGTATAGATTTGAAAAATGTTAAATTGTGTGTTATAATATTTAATTTAATTAACATAGAAGGGAAGCTAAATCGTTCATCTAGTGAGCTTAATTTTAACATGTATAACCACCAAAATGGCGATGGTCAAGATATACACAAAGACGATAAGAAAAAGAGAGGTCGCTCTCCATTTCGGTAAGATATAATAATAAATGGTTGGTTATTAGTTACGCAAATTCATATTATATTTATTTAATATTTACTCTAGGTTTTTCTCGAGGAAAAAAGAAAGTCCAACAGATAATCCTAAAAGAGCGAAAACACCAGATCCAGCCAGAAATAGGGAAAGGTCACGTAATACTCACAAACCTAATCCATTAAATGAGAGAGTTACTCCTCAAATAAGAGTTTCACAAGTAAGAGTAAACATTTACAAAATAAAATCAACTATGAATCAAATTAAAAAAAATGTAATATTTTTAAAGATGGATTTGAAATTGGTTCCACCGGCTATACCAGATAGACCGGGTGGTCCAAAAGCTATGTCATTCACACCGACAACAGCGGGAGTTGAATTTGTTGGAAACGAAATATATGATTTAGAATGTTTAAAATTGATTAATGAATATTATTATGGTGTGAGAATATTTCCTGGTCAAGATCCTACCCACGTTTACGTGGGATGGGTTACTACTCAATATCATCTCCACAGTAAAGATTTCAGCCAAAATCACGTGAGAAAAAGTACTGTTACAATCGTCGATGAACATAACAGGATTTTGGAAAGGTGAGTTTAATTTTAAATAATTATTACATGCGATAATATATCAATTTTTGTATAGTATTGACAGGCAAAGTTGTTACATGGTTCGATCTGATGAACTGTACAATGAGGTAACCAATGATTCATCGGGGAAAGGAGCATCTCAAGGAATGGCTATAGGATGTTTTATTGATATAGTTACTGGAATCATGTCATTCACATGCGAAGGAAAAGAAACTAGTTTTAGATTTAAAGTAAAATTAGATTAAAATAATAGCTTAAGCGAAATTAATTCTAAACCATATATAAAATTGTAGATGGAGCCAGATATAAAACTATTCCCGGCAATATTCGTGGAAGCTAGTAGTAAAGAAATTTTACAAATCGAGTTGGGTAGAACTTCAACCACTCTGCCTTTATCTGCTGCTGTTTTACAAAATTCAGAACGTCATGTAGTTCCTCAGGTGATTTGAGTTGCAAGATTACTATACATATATTTTAATATAATCATTTTTTTTTTAAACAAAATGTGTTTTTAGTTTCCACCTAGGTTAAAAGTTCAATGTCTAAGACCTCATCAATGGGCTCGAGTTCCAAATGCTTCTTTACATATTCATACTTTGAAATTATCTGACATAAGAGGATGGAGTATTCTTTGTGAAGATCCAGTATCGATGATTGCACTACACATTCCCGAAGAAGATAGATGTATTGATATTTTAGAGTTGATCGAAATGGAAAAATTACTATCGTATGATATCTATGCTGTTATGATTTTTGTACTATGATAATAAGCGAGAATTTATACTATTAACATTAAAATTAATTTTTAGTTTCCATGCTCACACATTGACTTTGTATGCCGCTGTATGTTATCAAGCTAATTACCGAGCAGCTCACATATTATGCACACACGTAAATCAAAAGCAGTTGCTATATGCTATATGTTCAGAATATATGTCTGGTCCTTTGCGTCAAGGATTTTATGATCTCTTAATAGCTTTACATTTGGAATCACATGCTACTACCATGTAATTATCATTTATTTGTTTGTCAACGCAAAAACATATAAAAACCATTTGTTTGTAGGGAGGTTTGTAAAAACGAATACATCATACCTTTGGGACAAGAATTGACAGTTTTATACGAGGATCCACAAATGGGCCACAGTTTACGTTCTTTACAAACTGAATCTGTTCGTCCTCAAATGAAAATGACTGAAATCTCGTCAGTACATTTTAATTAGATATTAAAATGTTTATTATCGAATCATGTTTTTCATGTTTTATTTATTTTTAGAGATGTTATTGACAATGTCCGAAATTTATATAGTCCATACTTCCCGTTACAAGTAGTAAGAGAATATGTGATGGCTGCATTGGAAGAAGCCGTTTTAGTGAATCAGGTTCATAATAGAGATCCTATTGGTGGCTCTAATGAAAATTTATTTTTGTAAGTTAAAGAAAATGTTTGGATAATTATACGATTTTTAATATAATAATAATTTGTTATTAGACCCCTATTAAAATTAGTGGACCGTCTTTTGCTTGTTGGTATGTTACGTGATGAAGATGTAGTGAAATTGTTAATAATGATCAACCCAGAAACTTGGGATCCTGAATTTCAAAAAGGTTTGAGTTTGAAAATTACATAATATTTCTGTAATAATAAAATATTTAAATTTAAGATGGTCCGGATGAACATAGAAAAGGTTTACTACATATGAAAATGGCCGAAGGAGCCAAACTTCAAATGTGTTATTTATTACATCATTTATGTGATATTCAACTCCGGCATAGAGTCGAGTCTATAATCTCGTTTAGTTATCAATTTGTTAACGATATACAAACTGTAAGAAACTTATTGATATTAGAAAATAATAATTCCTTATAACTCTTACGTGTATTTTAAGGATCAATTAAGGAGATACAATGAAATAAAACAATCGGATTTACCATCCGCAGTAGCTGCCAAAAAAACTAGGGAGTTCAGGTGTCCACCACGAGAGCAAGTAAAAACCACACGAATTGTTGTTATACGTCTTATACCTATTATAACATGTATTATTTTTTTACCACAGATGAATGCAATATTAGGTTTTAAGAATTTAGTTAATGATGACAAAGAAAATTGCTTAATCGGTGATGATCTACGTGAGAGAATGAACGAATTTAATGAGAAACTGATGAAGCAAATATCATTAGTAGCTCTACAAGAGTCTGAAGATGACGTAATTTATTATTAATTAAATATATTATATATTTCTAGTATAATATTATGATATTACTACATGTGATAGAGAAAAATATAGAAATCGGACAAATGTTGTCAAATGTGATATGTAATAAAGTCACAAGACTACTGAATTAAACTGAATTAAACCGGAATTTTATTTTAAAATTTAAAAATACAAAACAATAATTTTTTTTTAAAAAATTAAAGCGTCTAACAATATAAATAAATGCAGTTAAAAATATTAATAGTTATTTTATTAAAACATATAATTATATCAAGAGTTAAAATTATTGTCTCTAAATAAGTATAACGAATGACTAATAAAGTTAAAATGTTTTTTTTTTTTTTTACAACAAAATTGTATTATCTTTTATTGCAATATTTACTGGGTATAGAGATAAAAAAAATAAAAAGTAAATGGTTAGAAAAAACATTTTGAAATTTATTAAACTAATATTTGATGAAAAAATAAATAAGTTCTGTTCATAGAAAAATAGTATTGTATTAACGACATTATACATAATATTATACGAATATTACCTTCAAATTTCTTTATAGCTCTACAACTATTATATTCAAAGTTGAATTTTAACTGTTGCAGAAATCAGAAAACATAAATAAAGAAGGTAAAATAAAACAATTTTACAATTTTATAAACGCAGTGAAAGACGAATCAAATGAAAATGGTCTGGATGAACAGGAAAAGAAAATACCAGAAGGTAAGAAGAAAATAATTGTTCTTAAATTAAAAACATAACTATCATGTGAATCATAGATTACTAATAATACAATTTTGTTCGGTCTTGTAAGGAAGATAAAAGATTTATCTAATACATAAATTATTATTATTTTTTTTTTTAGAAATATTTAGGAAAGTTTTAATATCTACTATCGTATCTTGGGCCGAAGAAACTCAAATTGAAACTCCAAAATTAGTTAGAGAAATGTTCAGGTATATATATATATATAGTTCTTATATTATTTAATCCAAACATAAGATCGTATACAGTGGCATGGCAGATTTAACGGTCGTTTGGTTGGCGAATGCTGACGGGGCCCCTTCTAAATTGTTTACCGAGGCCCAGAAAAATAATAGTTAATTTTTCTTAAATTTACCATAAAAAAAAAAAAAAATTATAATACAAACTGTAATATTGTTTATAATTACCATTTTTATTTATAGCAAAATAATTTAAATGTACAGGAAATACTCAGGAACACTCCGAATACTTCAAAAATAGAACATTTTATTTACGAACAAAGTAGAAAAGATCGAATATAGGTTATATCTAATAGATATAATTAGAAATACTGTTGCTTATAGAATTCTATATAATTTCCGAGTATGAACACTATACGAGTTTATGAACAATGATTTATTATCGGTTTAGCTGCATCACGTCATTTCTAATGTACTATTTTCCATTTTCGTATGGCGAAATGCGAGTGTAGCGAGCAGCTTTGTAAAACGGGACTAAGAAATTTAGCGATACATATATTTCGAGGGCCCTCTTTTGGATTCGCCGACTTCATTTGAACCTTAAAATCTGCCACTGATCGTATATTGTTGCACAGGGGAAACTCGAACTGCCTGCTATAATTTTTTTTAAAAAAAAGTTACTCGAATTGCTTCTTATTTAAAAATGTTCCATTAATCGAATCAATAAATCGGTAGAAACCATAAATTTATACAATAACGTTACCTTAACACTAACAACAAGTATCTATAATTATGTTTATTTTAAGGAAAATAATAGGTACGAAAATTCGGTAATTTTTCTCTTTTATACTAAAGTTTATGTACGTATTATTGTTTTCGTATAGGTTTCTAAAATTATTTTTATTCTTGGAACAGCCAAACATTTAATTAGTATTGTAACATAGGGGCACTTGAAAAACCTTCGAAATAACTAGAGGCAATTCGAGTGACAAAAATAACCTTACCCGATTTGGAAAGCAATTCGTGTGTAGCACCGGTTGTACTATATATACAAGTATACAATACGTACTGTTAAATGTTATTAATTAATTTTATTTCATAGTTTATTAGTTAGACAGTACGACAGTGTCGGAGAATTGATTCGTGCTCTCGAGAAAACTTATGTAATTAATTTTAAAACAAAAGAAGATGTCGCCCAAATGTGGGTTGGCCTTAGTCAAATTCGTTCTTTATTACCTGTCCAAATGTCACAAGAAGAAGAAGAATTGATGCGTGAAAGATTATGGTTTGTATTTTTTTTTTTTTTAACAAATTATATACTACATCAATGCATACTAGGTATTTGGATATTTATTAATTCATATGATTTTCCCCTCTTATGAAAATGTATTAATAAAAAACAATGAACTTTTCTTTAAAACTTTGACAATTGTAACACTTGGATAGTTATACACTAATAAAATTAAATAGAAAGTAAAAAATATTTTTTCCATTTTTATTCTATACCAGTTATCTATTATTTTTAATCTATAAACAAAATGAAGAATAATTTTTACAAACAATTCTTATTTTAAACTTATTGATTTAATTTATTATCTGTAAACATTTTAGAGTAGAATAGCCAATGTTTTATAAAAAATGTTATGTGATTGGAAGTGTACACATCTATGATACTTAAAATATAAGGTGTAAACACTGATAAAACGGTGGATTCTATTAACTATATATTTTTTTTTAATATCCACACATTTATTTAAGATTATGTCGTAGTTAATAAACCAATATATCATTTATCGATACAGTTATGCATTGCTATTACCTATATCTTACGCCGTTTTAGTATTTTTTTGAAACAAATTGTAACTGTCGAATAAATGTTGTTTCTATTCGTAAACTAAATTATTTAATTTTAGGAAACTTGTGAATAATCACACGTTTTTCCAACATCCGGATTTAATAAGAGTTCTTCGAATGCACGAGAACGTAATGGCAGTTATGATGAACACGTTGGGAAGAAGAGCTCAGGCTCAATCTCAACCTGGTGGGACTCCTGTAACGGGACAAGATGGAGAAATAATTCCAAAAGAAAAAGTAAACTTTTAATAATATTAATTTTAGCATAATATTTATGTAGTTCTGAAAACCTAAAAACTTAACATTAATTTTATTATATATTAGGATACATCACATGAAATGGTTGTAGCGTGTTGCCGATTCTTATGTTACTTTTGTCGTACATCGAGACAAAATCAGAAAGCCATGTTTGATCATTTCTCATTTTTACTAGAAAACAGTAATATATTACTCTCGAGACCATCATTAAGAGGAAGCACACCACTCGATGTTGCTTATTCTTCTCTAATGGAGAATACAGAACTCGCTTTAGCATTGAGGTATTTACGGATGGATTCATTATTCCATAGAAAATATAAATATTTATTCATTAAATATAAATATTTTAAGCTATTATATTGTACAATATTGTCACAAAATATTTAAATCTCAAAAAATTATAGTCCCTTTGATGTTTCAGATGTTTATTTTTCAATAAATAACCATTATGTATATATAACTTATTAATACATATACACTTAAAGTATTTAAAATTATAAGAATAAATAAATATTTTTATTTGGCTTAAAACTCATACCTTATGATATCTCAGGATTTTTGTTATTAGATTTTATGTTATTAATTAATAACAATAATGTGTTTCTTAAATATTTATAGAGAACATTATTTGGAAAAAATTGCAATATATTTGTCTCGATGTGGTTTGCAATCTAATTCTGAATTGATTGAAAAGGGATATCCTGATTTAGGATGGGATCCAGTAGAAGGAGAACGATATTTAGATTTCCTACGGTTTTGTGTTTGGGTTAATGGTTTGTAATATCATTTTGAAGTAGTTTAGTCTCTTATTTAATAATTATGTACCAGGTGAAAGCGTGGAAGAAAATGCTAACTTGGTTATCCGATTACTTATACGTCGACCTGAATGTTTGGGTCCTGCATTAAGAGGAGAAGGAGAAGGCCTTTTACGTGCCATAATTGATGCTAATAAAGTACCACATTTTCTTCAACCTATTTATTTCTATAACTACGTAAGCGAATTATAAAAATATTTTAGATGTCAGAAAGAATAGCAGAACGGAAAAAATTCTTAGAAGAATCAGGGAACCAAGAAAATATTCAACTTGATCATCCACTTCCAGAATCCGAAGACGATGAAGATTATATTGATACAGGAGCTGCTATTTTAAACTTTTACTGTACCCTTGTAGACTTACTTGGGAGATGTGCACCAGATAGTTCGGTGATTTCACTGGTAAGACTCGTCTATGTTTACAACGGTTGTTTCGTTAAATTTTGTTTTAATTACATTTATATTTTTTATTTAAAATATTAAATAAATGTGGAAATCGAAAAAACTTTGCAAAATGAATAAATATTTCAAATTATTTATATTACTTTACAATATATATTGATAAGAATCATATAAATTAATAATTCTCAATGAACAATACGTTTAATAATTTTTATTTGTGTAATAGAATGCATAGTAGAATATTGCTTTATTTTGGAGACAATGTAACAATACGGTATTAGATCTTTTCAGTGAAGTTAATTAGTTAGATATTACCTTTTCATGTAATTATTATTATAATTATTGATATATAAATTGTTTTAAAGGGGAAAAATGAATCTTTACGAGCCAGAGCTATTCTTCGTTCATTGGTGCCTCTTGAAGATCTACATGGAGTTTTAAGTCTTAGATTTACACTTCAAAATCCTGCCGCAGGCCAAGATCGTCCTAAAAGTGACATGCCTTCAGGGTTGATACCCGGACACAAACAAAGCATCGTACTCTTCTTAGAACGAGTGTACGGAATCGAAACTCAAGAGCTATTTTTCACGCTGCTAGAGGAGGCGTTCTTACCAGACCTACGTACCGCAACAATGCTCGACAGAGTAATTATTAACTAATGCCTAAATCAAATCCTAATTATATGCTTATGACCGTTTTGTTTTTCAGAATGATGGGCTCGAATCAGATATGGCGTTGGCTATGAACAGATACATCGGAAATTCAGTACTGCCATTACTTATAGGTCATTCGAAGTTCTATAGCGAGTCCGATAATTATGCTAATCTGTTAGATGCTACGTTACATACGGTATACAGATTATCCAAAAATAGAATGTTAACAAAAGGACAACGTGAAGCTGTTTCAGACTTTTTGGTAGCTTTAACTAGGTATTTATTGAATATAATATATTGATTAATATAGCAATTATAAAAATCTATTACGATTAATTACAGCCAAATGCAACCGAGTATGTTATTGAAATTACTTCGAAAACTAACGGTCGATGTATCAAATTTATCGGAGTATACTACTGTGGCACTGAGAGTATGTATTTAATATTTGCTACTTGAATTTAGTGATCACGAAAATATTTATCTGTTATTGCAATTAATTATCACATTAAAACATGTATTATAGCTGTTGACGTTGCATTACGACCGGTGTGCAAAATACTATGGGTCTACAGGTGGTCAAGGAATATATGGAGCTTCTAGTGACGAAGAAAAAAGATTAACCATGATGTTGTTCAGTAACATATTTGACTCTTTGTCAAAAATGGTACACTTGATAGTTATATTTTTGATTGAAATCAATTAATTAATTTCTATGTAATTTTATTTTATTTCCACTACACAGGACTATGATCCTGAGCTCTTTGGAAAGGCATTACCTTGTTTGTCAGCAATCGGTTGTGCTTTACCTCCAGATTATTCTTTATCGAAAAATTATGATGATGAATGGTATGGTTCAAAACAAAATATTCAAGGACCTTCAGATGGACCTTACAATCCACAACCAATTAATACAAATAGGTAAATTTTTATTTGTATTGTGTACGACTTATAATGCATATATGTAAATAGTAACTATATTAATTAATTTCATTATTTTATATAGCGTTAATCTTGATAACGACTTAAACTCTATCGTACAAAAATTCTCAGAACATTATCATGATGCATGGGCAAGTCGTAAACTGGAAAACGGATGGGTTTACGGTGAGCAATTTAACGATGTTAACAAAGCTCATCCTCGTCTTAAACCATATATGATGTTAAGTGAATATGTAAGTTTCAATGTAGTATTACAAATTTTAGTTACGTCGAATTATATACTAATATAACACTATGTGTATATACAAATATATTTATACAATATTATTTATATTATTTATATAATTCACAATTAAGATGTTACAACAGTTTAAGGAAATCATAGTATTATATGGTACACTATTATTGTATTAGGAAAAAGAACTATATAAAGAACCTGTTAGAGAGTCACTTAAAGCATTACTCGCAATAGGATGGACTATTGAACAATCAGAAAACGATGCACCATTAAACAACAGAGGATCTGTCCGACGGCAATCAAAATCGAATGTATGTACTTTTTCACTGAACGTATTTTGGATTATATTTGCAACACGATAATCGCTTACAGGAAAATGTTACACCATTTGATTATCACCCAAATCCTATTGATATGACAAATTTGACACTCACTAGAGAAATGCAAAATATGGCAGAACGATTAGCAGAAAACTCTCATGATATCTGGGCCAAGAAGAAAAAAGAAGAACTCATGATATGTGGTAAATTTTTAATATTTTGACAATGTAATGTTCCAAGTAATATGGAATTTTAAACGCAGGAGGAGGTATTCACAACCAATTGGTTCCGTACGATTTGTTGACTGACAAAGAAAAGAAAAAAGACAGAGAAAGGTCACAAGAATTTTTGAAATACTTACAATACCAAGGCTATAAATTACATAGGTACACACGTGTTCATTTTTCTATTATGTATTTTATTATAGAACTCAATTAATATTTTTCATCATTTTTATTCAGACCAAATCGTAACGGTGGACCTACAGAAGCTGAACAATTGGCTGCTGCGTCAACAGGAGAGCTAAGGTTTTCTTATAGTTTACTAGAAAAATTGATTCATTACATCGACAGAGCCTCGATAAATATGAAACTTTTAAGGCCTTCGAGTACATTTAGCAGACGTTCGAGTTTTAAAATCTGTACGAGGGATATCAAATTTTTTTCCAAAGTACGTTTAAATATCTAACTTTATATTTTATTCTAAGGCTATTACACAGATCTTATTTTAGGTTGTGTTGCCATTAGTAGAGAAATACTTCAGCACCCACAGAAATTACTTCATAACCATAGCAACGGCTTCTAGTGTCTTAGGCGCAGCTTCGTTAAAAGAAAAAGAAATGGTGGCAAGGTAAAGTAAACATTTCTACCAATTCTTAAATGTAAAATTTTACAATAATTTTTTGTTCTAGCTTATTTTGTAAGTTAGCAAACTTGTTGAGATCTAAATTAATGGCCTTCGGAGCTGACGTCCGTATAACGGTCCGATGTCTGCAAGTTCTCGTCAAAGCGATTGATGCCAAGTAAATTTAAAATGTCATTATTAATTATGTAAATGTATGTTTTAATTTTCGATTTAAATTTGTACAGATCTCTTGTGAAAAACTGTCCAGAATTTATAAGAACTTCAATGCTCACGTTTTTCCATAACATCGCAGATGATTTGGAACATACAATTCAAAATTTGCACGATGTACATATATTTAAATTTTTTATCTAACATATAATTATTTGTTTCAGTTAATATGATAAAGATAAAAAGCTAATATGAAATGAATGTATGTTTTTAGAGTCGTTACTGCTATTTACGTGGAACACATTTGAAAACATCGACGTCATTATTTTACGTCAACGACGTCATTCTTCCAGTTTTGTCATCGCTTTTCGATCACCTAGCAGCATGTGAATACGGAAACGATTTATTATGTGAGTCATAAATTACATATACATTTAAACTGCTTAAATTAATTCTTATACGTTTTTTGTTTGAAACAGTGGACGAAATTCAAGTTGCAGCTTATAAAATATTGAGTAGTTTGTATACACTTGGTACAGATACTTCATTAACACATGATCGGTAAATAGTTAAATATTGAAAAATCATAAATAACATTAATTTTTATTTTTTACATATTGGTATTTTTATTTAAATTCAGAAAGTATTTAAAAGTACAATTGGAACGACATCGACCGGCATTTGGTAGTTGTTTAGGCGCTTTTAGTTCAACATTTCCAGTGGCTTTCCTCGAACCTCATCTAAATAAACATAATCCGTATTCACTTCACAATCGAATCGCTGATCATTCTTTGGAAGCTCAAGGTATATTTCAAAACAATAAATAAACACATTGTGATTAAGTTAATTTACCCACTATTTACTACGTTATTATCTTATTTTAACATAGATATAATGTCAAGAATGGAAGGTACTATGCCCACTTTAGAAGCTGTGTTAAATGAAGTTGATCAGTTTATTGAATCAGAAAAAACATATGCTGATGCTCCTCACATCATTGATGTAATTTTACCATTGTTGTGTTCATATTTGCCATATTGGTGGGCACAAGGACCAGATAATGTTGCTTTGACTACAGGGTAAATATAACTTAATTTATCATGTTTTTACTGAAGGTAAAAAATGATAGTGAATAATTGGATTAGATACATACAAATATTATTACAAAAATAATAAAAACTCACATACAAATAAATTTCATTATTTTCGACTTTTTGTGAATTAATAAGACTTAATTAAAAAAAAATATATATCTTGGTGTAATGTGTTATCCTACAAAGACATTAGTGATGGCTCTTTGAAGGCAGTTTTAAAGTTTATGATCAACCATTTTTTTGAAGTTAAGGCGATGCACTAATGTGTTACTTATTTAATATGTTTTTATTTTTTATATTATTTTTTGGTTACTATAAAACGTATAAATTGTATTTCAACACCTATCTGAATAATTTTACATATCTTAAAATTTTTGATTTTTGTGAGAGTAAATGATCGGCAAAAAATAATAAGTATGGAAATTTATCAGCTAATTATTATAGTACACGAAGAACTATTAGAATATGTATCCTTCGATAAATTTACGATTATTAAAATATAAAGTATAATTTATCATTTGACAAAATATCTCAGAATTCGATTTAACGTATTAATTATATTTTGAATATACTAAATATATATTTTATTTTATAGAACATTTTTTACTATTATAACTATAATGTAATAATATATACTTTTTGTCTAACATTATTGAATTTATTTCAGAAATCATGTTACAATGGTGACCAGTGAACACATGAACTGTCTTTTGAAAAATGTATTAAAATTGATAAAAAAAAATATAGGAAACGATAACGCACCATGGATGACACAAATTGCAAGTTAGTGTTATTAATTACTATCGTATAATATGACAATGTGTTGAACGAATAATGAAATATTTCATAACATTTTTTTTCGATTTACCGCAACAGCTTATACACAACAAATTATTATCAACTCTTCGGAAGAATTGTTAAAAGATTCGTTCTTGCCACTAGCTGAACGAGTAAAAAAACGTACCGAATCATTATACCATAAGGAAGAATCATTAAGAGGATTTATAAAATCATCTACTGATGATACATCTCAAGTAATATATTTTAATAATTAAGTCATAGTGACAATCTATTACCGTTGGATTTGAATGCTTGTAGATCGAAGCGCAAATACAAGAAGACTGGCAACTAGTTGTCAGAGATATTTACGCGTTCTACCCACTTCTCATAAAATACGTCGATCTTCAGCGTAACCATTGGTTACGCAATAATATTTCAAACGCTGAAGATTTATACAACCACGTTTCCGAAATATTTAACATTTGGTCCAAATCGCAGTACTTTTTACGAGAAGAACAAAACTTCATTTCCGCAAATGAAATCGACAATATGATTCTTATTATGCCCACAGCTACACGACGATCAGCCGTTATATCAGAAACGTCTTTGGGAGGGTCGACTGGAAAGGTAAGACGCAAACTCGTGAATGTATACTTCATACGTATAAATATTAATCAACAGTATAATGGGCGTATAATTTTACACTTATTTCTTTATACCCTCACGTCTTATAGAAAAAGGAAAAAACACAGAGATAAGAAACGTGATAAGGAAAAAGAAATTCAAGCTTCATTGATGGTCGCTTGTCTCAAGCGATTACTGCCAGTTGGTTTGAATTTGTTCGCAGGAAGAGAACAAGAATTAGTTCAACACTGCAAGGATAGATTCTTAAAAGTAAAAAACTTTGTAACATCAATAAAAAAGAACAATACTCCTTATATATGTGTATTAATAATGTAATAGAAAATGCTGGACTACGACATCATTCAATTTGTCAAAATTCAATTGACATTGCCTGATAAGCTAGACCCAGCTGATGAAATGTCCTGGCAACACTATTTATACTCAAAGCTGGGCAGCAAAAAAGGAACCACCGAAATGATTAAGCCTCAGCAAGTCGACGAGGTTGCAGATAGGATTTTGGCTATGGCTAAGGTTCTTTATGGATTGCACATGGTAAATAATTTAATAATTCGTTCAGTTATAGATTATAATATACTTAAATATAATAACATAATACGAAAAATTGTCATTTCAAGATTATGTCTTTTAATGAGGCAAATCTGAAGTTTCGTATTTGATACGCACGCTCGTGTATATTATTATATTATATCCATATTAACTTATTGTAAAGCTATTATGTGATGATCAATAGACGAAGAAACTATGCATCTGAAAGTAGAAAGATTATCTTAAATTTTTTAGGTTTATTTCAGAAACACATATTTTACAGAACGTATTTACGATAAAATATGTTTAATAACAACAAAAATCATAAATACTCGTATTTTTCACATAATATTAATTATATGGTTCTATATACAGTGGTACTGAGAACACGTTTTTTAATCAATTCAATTGAACTAACTTGTATAATGGGTGAACGGGTTTATCAATGTAAGAATTTAAAAAAATATGATACTTTTAATCCTGAAGTGAATTTAATTTAACATCAACTATGATTAGAATGGTAAGAAACAAATTAAGCAATATATTATTAAGTTTCCAGAAAATGTAATCTGTTCATGTCTTTGATGGGTGAATGGATCATCTTGTTAGTCATTGAGCTGTTAATTTAAAAAATACTTCGGCGTCGCTGTTTATACATGCAATGGCTTAACTACATAGTACATATAATCAGTTGAAAGTATTTTGGTACATTCGATAAGATAAAAAAAAGTAAACATGAATTATCGATAAAAAAATTATTCATTAAATTTGTTGGTACACTTCATATAATAATTGCAATTCAACAAATTTAAAATTCAGGTGAATTAATTCTGGAAATAAATCGATTAAAAAACCGAATGAAATTAATTAAAATAAAGTAACAATAATAACTTGTTAATTTATATTCTTAGATTAAGTAAGATTTCACAATACTTTTTTAGTTTTATTGTTAATTTAAATTAATAAATAATGTTTACCAGTTCTTATTTATCTATAGTGTAGTAAGATATATAACAAAATAACCCGTGTTATAAGATTTTAATTTGAATTAATTTTAAACACAATTCAAATTAAATTAAAATAAAAAAATAATAAATATCTTACTACAATTTTTATAACACTTGTTAAAAAATTTAATATTTTAACATACAAAAATGTATAGTAATTAGTATATAATTTCGTCATTGTTAAATTTAAAAATTTAATCAATGTTATGATTTATTCCAACAGATGTTTATAAATTATCTGTCCAGACAAAAAACGCTATCAGGTTATTAAAGATTAATAAGACAGTGTCTAGCGCACCCCAAGCATACACATGATGAGTACTTATATGAAATAATTTAGATTTCTCTTGTTGTCCAAGGATTATACAAATAATCATAAAACAGTAATCGATTTGGGATTTTTATATAGTATGAAATAATTATTCTTTAATGCAAATAATAATAATAATAAATATATAAGAAAAGTAAGAAAATTGCATAATTATTATTATTATTTAATTTTATTATAATATTGCGATTCGCGTATTAAATAAGTAATTTATCAAAAAATAAACAATAAGAAAAAGTGGATTAGTGGTTTCACGTATTCGTTGCTATTTACATTGTTTTTATTGGTTTTAATACTAAATCACTGTTAGGCGGACCATATGCTCTTTATTCATGTATGGTTTCAAAACTTACACACACTTTGCCTACCATAAAATGAATACATATTATACAACAAGCAAATATGCATAATTAAATATTTTATTTGAATTCACGAACTAGAAAGAAAAACTTTTATAGTATACCTTCTCGTGGCCATAAACTATTTTCAGGCCTAAAAATTCGAAAACGAAACTGAGGAAATAATGACGTACGATGCGAATAATCAGTTTGTATATCATGATGAATATTGAAGGTTAATATTATGGTGTTTAAGTAGTTTTTATTAAACTATAATATTAATATTAAATTAACCACGCGTTTATTTTATTTATAGTACTGACAAATTTAGCCATATTCTATGATATAATTTAACATAGTTATATAATACCTATTTTAAACTTAATTAAATATTAATTGCAGAACAATAACATTACATAACTCTATAATAATATTATGTCCATTGACGTATTTTTGCTCATTGGTTAAAATAAAAATATGATTTTCAGCAATTGTTCTCTTCGTAATAATATTTTAAATCAAATAAATTGTTTACGTAGAATCTATAATAATAAGTAAAACACGCATGTATCCATTTATAATTCGTTACATTTAATTGCAAATTAAAGTTTACAATGAAATGTACACCGATGTTTAGGTAGATTCAAAGTGAAGTAGCTCAACACAATAACCTATAGTTAGTATGTTTTTTTTTTTTTGTTTTGCTAGATTGATCATCCTCAGCTTCAAAGTAAGGCGACTTATCGATCAGTTGTATCGACGCAACGTAAGAGAGCCGTAATTGCTTGTTTCCGACAACTCTCGCTCCACGCTTTGACCAGGTCTTTTAGATGCTTATATTATATTATTCATCCGTTGTATTGTACAATGCACTTTGTTTTATTTTTTACAGCTTTTCTAATAAATAGTAATAGTTTTATTTTGTTTTTCACGCTTAAAAAACAATACGTTTGTTTGTCGTAGTTCGTGAAACCGACTAAACCACAATTCGATATCATGATATACGACAAACGAATATGTTATAATACAGCAGTAAGGTGTACATAGAAATATTAATTAATTCAACTGAAATGGTCATCAGTGTCGTATATATATATATACTAACAATTTATTATTAGTACAATATATAATATATTCATCATACTCGTGTAGATATTTTAAGATGCGTACTATATTAGTAATATGTTTAAATCAAGTTACGTCTATTTACCTCTTGTGAAGTCTTGTGATGTGTTGTTGAAGGTACCTAAACTTGTGATTATTGTCGATTTAATTTATGTGTCTGATGTCAAAAAAATATTGGTCAATGCAGTAGCCAGGGACACTGCACACTTATACGTAATAGTATTATAGATGTCCAAAGTAAACGTGTTAACCCATTACAAGAATACATTTATAATTGCATTATTTGTTATAATATTTGTACTTCAATAAAGCTGTATGAGTTGTGTATATCTATTCCTCCGCCACCGATATCTGAATAGAAACCTGGCTACCGTACTGCAATAAGCATTATTAAACCTCGTGACGTTATTTTAATTAAATACCTAATTGTGTGTACCTAACATTTTTTTTTTTTTTTTGAAATTGTATACAATATGTAGTTGTTCCACAATAATACCCAGTTGAAACGGCTGGGATGGAGAACGATATTATCGGTTGCCAGAAAAAGAGCCGCTATAGCCTGCCTTAGAATGACTCCATTATACTGCATAAAAAGGTACCTCTAACAATTGCTTGTCTTTTAATTATACATCCGATGTCTCTTACACGTGAGTTATTAATTTGCTTCGTTCCGCCAAAACCCTCTTGTACGTGTCTTTTGTTTAATATGTATTAATAGATTATTTTATTTTAAGTATTTAGTGTGATGCTATAGCGATGTACATAAAGTATACAGTAGATTATATCCACAGTCCAAACCTTTAGAGGGACAACAATTTGAGTTACTTATCAACGAATTCAGAATATCACATTGTGACAAGTTTATGCGTTTTCGTGTTATTAAATTAATTAAAATGGGCTATTCAACCAGGATGCACGAATAATTTGTAACATTATTAATAAGATTATATTATCAAGAATCTACTGTATATAATACTATAATAATATATGATTTAACGTAATAAATTATATTATTTTGGCTTTATATTTTACAAGTTATATTATCTATTAATATTTTTGTTAATCTGATCTTCTGGTATTGTTCGCTATAAACTGTATACAATTGATTATTTATAATTTTAGACATCGTGCAGTAAACATATTTGTTCGTTCATTTTACGAACTATGGCTTCAAGATGAGAATATTGGACAAGAAGTTATGATTGAAGATCTCACGGTAAGTTTATAATCAACTTCTTGGCTACCTATTAAGTTGAATGGAAAATACGCAATAATATAGTAAAATCATAACTAATTTTTTTGCTATTTTGTAGCAATCATTCGAAGAAGCGGAACTTAAAAAACGTGATAAAGAAGAAGAAGAAGGAAAAGCTGATCCACTTAATCAAATGGTCACGACTTTTTGTCGTGGTGCTATGACCGAGAGAAGTGGTGCGTTACAAGAAGATCCACTTTACATGTCATATGCAGATATTTTAGCTAAGTAAGTAGAGAAACAACTGAATAAACCTCTACTAGCAGGCGCTTACACAAAAAAATAGTTTGGAAGTAGTTTTAGGTTGTACATTTTGATAATTATATAATCTATATATCATTTTTACTATATAAAAACATATTTAATAATTTTTCTGAATTTCAGGAAGGGTTTGAGTCTTTAAGCCCCTCCCTTATGTACACGCCTGTCTACTAGACTTAAAAAATTAATAATAATTTACATTTTGTGATCTTGGGGGTCTAATCACAATTATAATGTAAAATAACAACTCTATTAAAACCAATTAAAATAATACATATAACATAAAATATCATATTAATTTATTCCAACATATAACATTATTGTTTCACGCTTTTGTATATAAAAATAAAATGTTCATACTTTATATATGACAACAAAAAAAAATGAATATATTTGTTTAACAACAAATTAAAAAAAAACTGTAAATATCATAACTAACCTATAACTATTTAATCACAATACTTAATTCATTAAATAACATTATTATACGAGGACAAAAAAATATTTCTCTGAGGTCGTGGACTGGATCACTTTATACTTGGAATTTAAATATTTGTCAAATAGTATAATATAAGGATTAACTTCTACCGAAACAAAAATAGTATTTACACACCGATTTATTCATCATTTTCATGCTACTCTGTACTTTTTCGAATAAAATATTCAGTAAAAAAAAACTCAAATATTATTCTTACATATTCTTTTTTATATACTGTTAATTTTACTTATTAGGTCATGCGGTGAAGAAGAAGAAGAAGGAAATGATGAAGAAGAAAGTTCAAGTGGTAACGGAGAAGAAGAAGGCGGTGCTTCAATACACGTAATACATTTGTTTTTGTTTTAAAAATTACGATGATATTTATACATTTTTTATAAATAAATATATCATTAGGAACAAGAAATGGAAAAACAAAAACTTTTGTTCCATCAAGCTCGATTGGCTAATCGTGGTGTCGCAGAAATGGTTTTGTTACACATATCAGCTTGTAAAGGTATACCTAGTGAGATGGTTATGAAAACGCTTCAATTAGGTATTGCAGTTCTTCGAGGCGGTAATTTAGAAATTCAAATGGTAATTGTAAAATTATATTATTATTATTTAATATTATTTAATTTCTAATAACTGTTTTCGTGAAATACTATTGACGATAAATTAATATTGTTTACCATAGGGTATGTTAAATCATTTAAAAGAAAAGAAAGATGTTGGATTTTTTACTTCGGTTGCTGGTCTTATGAATTCTTGCAGGTAACAATTGGCTAAAAAAAGATGAAAATTATGAAATTTAACTCTCTGTTTTTGTAATTTTCCAAGTGTACTCGATTTAGACGCTTTTGAAAGAAATACTAAAGCCGAGGGGCTAGGAGTTGGATCGGAAGGCGCTGCTGGTGAAAAAAATATGCACGATGCCGAGTTTACATGTACTTTATTCAGATTCATTCAATTAACATGCGAAGGACATAATTTGGGTACGTAATCGCTGAGTTATTATTTTCACTGTGATGTAAATATTTTTACTTACATTATCTTTTTCAGAATGGCAAAATTATTTAAGAACGCAAGCCGGAAATACCACGACTGTCAATGTGGTCATTTGTACAGTAGATTATTTACTAAGACTTCAAGTATGTACCGAAGTATTCAATAATAAATATAGATGTATTATTGTATTTCAGTAAGAATATTTAATTATTTATATTGGTATCTTAAGACAAAACTAATGAAAAACAAAGAAAATAGTTTTTAGTTTAACGATTCGAAAATCAGAAATGAATATATTTTTTTTTTTTATTAAACAATTTTTGTATTGATATCTGATGTAAATTTAAAATAGTAGTCTTTATTTGTACAAATGTAATTCATTGTAATGGGTTTATCAAGTATAAAAATTATTGCACAAATTTAAACTAATTAGATTATAATATTATAACATATATTTTTTTTATCACTTAACTTTAAATATATAGTGGCTATACAATAAAACATATAAATATATTGGCTATACAATGGATATATACATGTATATTTATAGCCATTGTATTAAGCCGAGAAGGCAGTAAGAAAAATGTTATGAATATTAATTTGAATTTTTCTTCGGTGTAATCTTTTAAAATTAAATATAACTCATGTACTTAACGAAAAATTATTTCAGGAATCTATAATGGACTTTTATTGGCACTATTCAAGCAAAGAGCTTATTGACCCGGCGGGAAAGGCAAATTTCTTTAAAGCAATTGGTGTTGCTAGTCAAGTTTTTAATACACTATCTGAAGTCATTCAAGGTCCGTGTACTCAAAACCAACAGGCTCTAGCTCATTCAAGGTTATGGGATGCCGTCGGAGGATTTTTGTTTTTGTTTTCACACATGCAAGATAAATTATCAAAACATTCGAGTCAAGTAGATTTACTGAAAGAGCTGTTGAATTTACAAAAAGATATGATCACAATGATGCTATCTATGTTAGAAGGTAATTACTAAAAAATCTGCCCTAACAGAAGTTCTAACTGATGTGTAGTAGGAAACGCCTTATCAGAAAAGAGATAACTTTTATTGTATCATGATCTCATTCACCTCGTTGATATTTCGCGTTTACATTATAAATTTGAACATTTCAAATACATAATGATAAACCTCTTTATCAAAATCAAATAAAATGTATACACTTTAGGAGTATGTAACTTAAATGTAATCTAAATATATTATAAGACTTATAATCTCATTAATACATCATACATTTTATACTCCAATTATTTGCTACTACACAGTTACAGTCAATAATTACCTTATATTTCCGATTAAACAATAAAAACAACATAAATGTAAAGTTTTTCATGTAATCTGTACGTAGGAAATGTTGTTAACGGAACTATTGGTAAACAAATGGTTGATACTTTGGTTGAATCTGCTTCTAATGTTGAGGTAAGTTATAATTAATTTTGTAAAAAATAATAATATACAAAACCATGAAAAATAACTAATCATACGTTCATTTCTTGATTTTAGTTGATATTGAAATACTTTGACATGTTTCTGAAACTCAAAGATTTAACAAGTTCAGCAAGTTTTACGGTAAATTGTACTTGTGATAATTTTATTATAGTACTATCGTAACATATACGAGTATTTATAAAATTATCAATTGTATTGCATTTAGAAATTAAATAAGCTTAATTTTCCGAATATGATTTACTTAATTTATTTCAGAGTAAAAAATTATATTTTAAACTATACTAAGATGGTTAAAAATTTAACACGTATTTTTTTTTTTAATCCAACGTATTTTAAACTTGTAGGAAATCGACCCAAACAATGATGGTTGGGTACAACCAAAAGATTTCAAAGAAAAAATGGAACAACAAAAAAGTTATACTGCGTGAGTTTTTTTTAGAAAATTCTTTAATTTACTTCTGCTATTATTTTTATGTATGAAAATGTTTTTTATTCTATACGTTCTAGTGAGGAAATCGAGTTCATGTTGCAATGTTGTGAGTCTAACCATGATGGAAAAATCGATTACATCGGATTCACGGATCAATTCCACGAGCCCGCCAAAGAAATTGGATTCAACCTTGCCGTACTGTTGACTAACTTGTCGGAACACATGCCTAATGAACCGAGGTGAATTTTTAAAAATATTTTTAAAAACTGCTTTCAATAATTTCAATATTCACAAATATTCCGTGTCATGTTTAGAATTAATATTTTTCTCATTGTATTCAGGTTGACAAGGTTCCTCGAAACTGCCAGCAGTGTCTTGAACTATTTCCAACCGTTCCTCGGCAGGATAGAAATTCTCGGTGGCAGTAAACGCATCGAAAGAGTATACTTTGAAATCAAAGAATCGAACATCGAACAATGGCTGAAACCTCAGATCAGAGTACGTATAGTATAATATAATAAATGTTTAGCATGTACATGAATCAATATTGTTCGATGTATATTGTCTTCAGGAATCGAAACGAGCATTTTTCTACTCGATCGTCACTGAAGGCGGTGATAAAGAGAAATTGGAGGCATTCGTGAATTTCTGCGAAGACGCTATATTTGAAATGCAACATGCCAGTGGTCTCATGGCGGTTGATGATGGCTCAGGAATAGGCGGTGGAAAGTCTAGGAAAACCTCTTACACTTATCTCGCCGATGACGAAGAAAATAAGTAAAACAGCTTTATTTATAAATAAATAATATTCACTGTTTGTAATCAACACTGTGTATGCAGGACGGCTAAAGATCCTGTTCGTAGAGGCATACAGGCTATAAAATATGGATTCCATCTATTGTTCTTCGTTTTGTCGCCCACAAATATAAAAAACAAAATTAATGAGATTCAACAAATGACTACTGTTGAACTAATTAAGTCGTTTTTCAAATTGTGGTTTTACTTGATGTTCTACACTGGTTATAGTGGATTTTACGTTTTGAGGTTTGTTGGCTTTAATAATAAATTAAAAATACAACTGTTAAATATCATGTACCGGTTCAATAGCAGTTTGAATTTAGTATGGATTTCAATGCATACGATAAATTCGTTCATACATGTTTCGTTTCCACAACAGTTACAATAAGGTTCATCGACAGACAACATAATTAACATATTTTGAGCTTAACATTAGATTGTTCAAATCACAGTTGACATATTATCGCAGTTTACAAGTATACACGGAAATAAAATAATTGCATTATTTTATTTTCCTGTTAACTATTGTACACAGGGACGGACTGGGTAGGATCCGGCCCACTGTTCTCGAAATAATAGCGGCCCTAAATTAGCCCCGAAATATTAGGGAGTCTAAAGGGTTTAAGGCCCCACCCATAATCAGGTCTTAGTAAATAATAGACCGTGATCATGATTATTGATTATAGTGTTTTATCTGGTGGTTTCAATTTCTACTTAATTATTTTTGTTATTTAGTTAGGCCTGAGCGTAAACCGTAGGTAATAGCCATCGGACACAGGCCTTAACATATATGCGGGACATGGCCCACTGTCCTATAGGACAGTAAACCACCAGCCTAGTCCACCTCTGTTTGTACAAATACAATAACACGAGGAGCAAAACATAGTTAATATAATACGAAAAAAAAATAGATCTCGTAATAAAACTTTTTATTTGTTTATTTTTTCCATGTATAATCAGATTTATTCTAATAGCAATAATTACTATTGAATTTGATTCCAAGAAAAAAAAAAAACAACAAATTCAACAAAAATAAAATAAAATTACTATTAAAAAAATAGTCTATAATGAGAGCAGCTTTATAAAGAGTGATAATCAATAACGATAATCATTTTCATCGTTTCTTCAAATACAACACCATAAAATCCGTTGTACCATATGTAATTTAAACATCAATAACGATGAAATTATCGTGCAGGTATATATCTCGTATTCTCATGCAACTAATGAGCGGCACTCAATCTGAAGAAACAGCTGTTGAAATCGTAGAAGAAAAAAGTGGATCGTTTAGAATGCTGCCTGCGTTGCCGTCATCTGGAATGGACGATATGTCAACTTCGGTCGACAATAACAACATGTGTGTATACTATAATTGAATATTTTTTTTATTTTTTTTTTATTATTATTCTTTTTGACAATGAGTTGTTTTGTAAGAAGGAAGAATTCCGATATGATCGACTCAAAGAATCTAAAATTGACTACGGATCGTAGTGATGACGAACATCACGCCGAAACATCAACGGAAAATAACGAAGACGCTGGCAAAACGGAAGACGGAAGTGCCGAATCACAAGCATCGTTTGTCGACTTACTAGTGTGAGTATTCGTAGTGAAACATTATAAATTATTTCCAAATAATATATGATTGAGTTTTTAAAAAAAAATATTTATTCCTATAATTTTTTTTCTTTCTGTATTTAACATACATTTAACATTTACAGCAGAGTATAGCGTATGACGTAGGTATGTGAAACAAAATAAACAAATTATTAATAAGATATGAAAATAATGAAATAAATTATTATTACACAATTTTATGTACGTTTTTCCTATTTTAAAACAATGCTAGTGTAAAAAACATCAAAGTAATCGAATTAAAGTGATTTATAAAAATGAATAAACAAATAATTAAAATATTATTAAATATTAAAAAATAATATTTATAAAAATAAGATATAATAGGTGTTATTTCGATGTGTAAATATTTACAACCAGTTACGATTTAAAATATCATTGTTAAGTACACTTTAGTGTGTAATTAATTATTTTTAATAAATTATTTATAAATTGAATAATTTTATAGTATTATATTAAAAACATTAACTACGAAATATTTAATAATAATTTTATTATTATTATTTTTTTTTATAAATAAAAACAATATAATAGGTATTAATATTTTAGGTGTTTAATAAATACATTTTGAAAATGTTTTACTTTATTAAGCGATTTTTATCAATAACAGTATGATTTATCATGTTGTTTATTTAATAATTTAGAGGTGAATCAGCTAGAAAAGATTCGATTGCTGGTCCTGAAGTTTTGGCTCAACAACAGGCTGTTATGGCAGCCGTGGAAGCAGAAACTAAACAAAAGAACTCTGTCACCAATCATAGTGCATTTTCTACGGTATAACTTCTTATAATACATAAAAAATCTATAGATGTAGATGATCTATTAAGAAATAATGATAGTCTAAAAATTTTATTTTATTCACTTCATTATTTTAATATTTATCTAATCAACAGAAAATAATGTAATCGAATTAATATTTGTTTTTTAATCGGACAAGTGCTTGTTGTCGAAATTATTTCTCTGTAATATCCCATCTAATTTTTAAGACATTTTTATGAAAATCATGAAGTTTAAGAATCCAAGATACTAGACCATAAAATTATTCATAAAAATAATCACTTATTCTAATTTACGAAATTGTGAATTATTAAAAAAAGAATAACCTTATTATCTTAATTAACACAATTAGTAAGTCCTCATTGGACTTTCATTATCTTACAATTTTTTAAATGTACCAGTACTATGTGATATGTATTAAGTACATGTCTATAAAAATATTTTTCTTTACATATAATATGGCTGTTTGTCTCTTTCAGATCGATATCAACGCGTACACGCATCGAGCGTTGAGTTTCTTGGCCAGAAACTTTTACAATTTAAAATACGTTGCGCTAGTATTAGCGTTCTGCATCAATTTCATACTACTATTTTACAAAGTATTTAAAAAATACTATTCTACTTGAAAACCAAATTGGTTAAATATTACAAAATAAAATAATAAATATGATTCATAGGTGTCAACCCTTACTGAAGATTTATCAGAAGATGACGTCAAAGAGTTTGCACTGGGTTCGGCCGGCATCAGTAATGACGATCTCGATGATTCTAATAGTACAGACGTGGCCGATGATGACGGAGCTCTGGAACTCGTGCACGTCAATCAGGATTTCTATTACATGGAACACGTCATGCGGCTCGCGGCCTTACTCCACTCTTTGGCGTCGCTGGCCATGCTGATAGCGTACTATCACTTAAAAGTACCGTTGGCCATATTCAAACGCGAGAAGGAAATCGCCAGAAGATTGGAGTTCGACGGTTTGTACATTGTCGAACAGCCGGAGGACGATGACATTAAGTCCCATTGGGATAAACTAGTGATCTCTGCCAAGTGTGTACATTGCGGTCACGTTGCTCTATCGTTTAACAATAATCGTGACGGGTGAAAGATGATTATCCTGTATGATGATTTTTTTTCAGATCATTTCCGGTAAATTACTGGGACAAATTCGCGAAGAAAAAAGTTCGTCAAAAGTACAGTGAAACGTACGATTTCGATTCCATAAGTAATTTGTTGGGAATGGAAAAAACATCATTCACCACTCAAGAAAATGAAGAAGGGTCCGGTCTAATTAATTTGTAAGTACAGTGGGTGAAAAAATCTTTCAAATGGATTACCTGAATAAAAATATAAGATTATGGGTAATGATATTTTATTCACGATGTACTAAACATTATGCCTGTCACTTAACTCTTAATGTGCGGTTTATAGGATGACTGTAGAGACATATTATGTTATAAAAATATAACCTAATTTGAACACAAAATACGTGTGATTATAATTTTGTGATAACGTTTCAGTGTAATCAATATCGATTGGAGATACCAAGTGTGGAAAGCTGGAGTCACAATAACAGACAATGTGCGTTGTAATTATGAGTCAAATTGTAACGGTTACCACGTACCGTGTTCGACTAATATTCTCGAACTATTCATTGCAGGCATTCCTGTACAGTCTGTGGTATTTCACATTTTCGATTTTGGGTAACTTTAACAATTTCTTCTTTGCCGCTCATCTATTGGACGTAGCCGTCGGTTTCAAAACGCTAAGAACGATCTTACAGTCAGTCACTCACAACGGAAAACAGGTGAACATATACATACACACATATTGTTTTTGTACAATTTGTGAATTAAAGTATTAATTTTTATTTTTTACTCACCCTCGGCGTTTAGCTCGTATTGACCGTTATGCTTCTGACGATCATTGTGTACATATACACGGTTATTGCATTTAACTTCTTCAGGAAATTCTACGTCCAAGAAGAAGACGACGAAGTGGATAAAAAGTGTCACGACATGCTGACGGTACTTATTACGCTTATAATATATTAAACTGATCGCATGCGCCCAATGGCTGAACATTCAGGGTGTGTTACAATATTATGTTTAATACATGTCAATAAGTAGCATTCTTTGCTGGTTTCTGGTCAAATAAGAATTTTTATACAGTTTAATATATAAAGTTTACTTGTATTAATTATATTAGTAAAAATCATCAACAATAATGATAAATACTACATAAAACCATTTTTCGATAGAGAGGAAAAATAATTACAATTATCTTATATTGTACTGCACCGAAATTTAAATATTTATGAATGATATCTATAAAATTGAATAAGAAAAACGTATTAACTCCATTTCTTAACTAGAATCATAAATTAAACTTAACTCTCTTTTTCATAAATGTAATTATAGTTCATTTAAAATTTTAATTTTAAATGATTGCCTAATATTTATTATCATAGTAATGTATAGCTAATAAGTGTAATCATCAACTTTGTAGAAATAAGATTCTATTATTCGAAAGCAAATTGATTTCTGTATGATTAAATAGTTTATGCTTTTATGCGCACCTATATATTGTTCATATATATAATGATGAGAATTTATCGATTGCCTAAATTTGTTTGTAAAAATATTGAAGTTATTGTGATTTTCTTTTTATTAATTTGAAAAATCAAACAGGAACTTTTTCTCTGGATGATATTCCACTAAAGTGGTGTATCTGTATCTAATTTGAATTTGATGCGATGGAAATCGAACAATATTCTCGCGGACGCCCTGTGCTCTGCTGTGCACTCACTTTTTGTCGGTTCGACCGACTACCTATATTAAAACTGTAAGTCAGGTAAAATTGTTTTTCTCCGGTTGCAGTGCTTCGTGTTCCATTTGTACAAAGGTGTACGGGCCGGCGGTGGTATCGGAGACGAGATCGGTTCGCCCGACGGCGACGACTACGAAGTCTACAGAATAATGTTCGACATCACGTTTTTCTTCTTCGTCATCGTCATCCTGTTGGCCATCATTCAGGGTAAGCCCACACCTCCACATCCGGCCAATTCTTGTATCTATAACGTACGCATGCGATTAATAATATTAATCTGCTCCCGAGTTCTCTGGCCACATCGTTTTGCTTCGTATGCACGGTTCGAACGTAGACAAAGACCAGTGGGAAAGGCATTTGCGAGTTGTGATAATTACACCGGGCCGAAAAAAAATCGATACGGTTTGGATGCTTCGACTGTTGCTTGTATAACAATACGCGTATGGCTAACAATCAGTGGTCGAAGTGGGAAAAATCAAGTAGAGGAGCTCAGTGCAACGATTTAAAAACTGCATTCCACGTGTGCTATTGTTTAACATAGACTCGTGGAGGGGCTGTCCCCCCTCCCTCATCAACATTACATATATTTTAAATAACACTTTTTAACTAAACAAATATTTCAATTCCAAATATTAATATCGATAATATTATTAACAAACCGTACAACGAATAAAGTATGTACAGAATTATAACTTTAATACCAGACATTAATATTTATATTTTTCCTGAAATGATGACGCCTTCGCTTATCATAACCACCGTATAATATTTTATTATGAAAATATATTTTCTCGTATACCAATATAGGTACTAAGCGTAAATAGAATTATATTTATCACATGAATTAATTTTCAACCAATTATATGTTTTGTATGTTTGTGTACATGTTTACATAGCATTGTTCCATCTGTAACCGCGCTGCGTAGTCACTAGTCGACCAAACGTAATTTCGGCTAACATAGGCTAGGCATTTTTAACGATAATACTAGCGGAGCTCAACGTGTTAATAGACGAATATCAAAAATAGTTTTGATATTATAAATCGTAATATTCTTTGTAAAATTGACGTAAATTGAAATCCACATTTTAATAAAAAATTATTTTGGACATTAGTTAGAGTGAACGTGGCGTCCCCTCGTCCCAGTGAAAAAATATAATTGGAGTATTCAAAAATCAAAAAAATAATAGAGGAGCTCCGTTCCCCTGCACAACCTCTCCCTATAAATTCGAGCCCTGCTAAAGATCGGACACAAAACATACCGTCTCAGTAGTGGTAATAATAATTAATAGTGCACGGCCTCGTAGAGCTCGGTAAACTAATTACTAATTACCTTACCATTATTTACGTACCGATGGAACATTGCATAATACCAAACGTACTTGTCTGACTTGAGCCATCTGTTTATAAGTTACGCTAATTATTATGGTTGCGATTTGTGTTGCGATTTTCGTCGTACGTTGACGTTTGTTTCGTTCAAAGGTTTGATCATCGACGCGTTCGGAGAGTTGCGTGACCAGTTGGAAAGCGTCAAAGAGGACATGGAGTCCAACTGTTTCATATGCGGCATCGGCAAAGACTATTTCGACAAGGTGCCGCACGGTTTCGACACGCACGTGCAACAAGAGCACAACCTCGCCAACTACATGTGAGTTAGTTCACGCAGCGCCATGGTACCCAGAGGTGGGACTAGGAATTTTTACGCCCGGGGAAAATATTAAAATTACGCCCTATCGTTGACCTATAATGCTCTTCTCGAGAATTTTTTTTTTTGTAGTAATAATTAATATACAATCATACTTAATGAGTTTTAACCTAATATCAGTGTATTTAACAGAGAAAAAATATCAAATTAGTCGTTAATAATTACAAAAATTACACCCTTTTAAAATGTTACACCCGTAGATGAATTCCCGGTCTTCCACCCCCGGTGGTCCCCGTATATGAACGACGCGTCGGCGGCAAAGCGATCGGGTTCGTCCGTCTAATGCCACCCGCCGTGAACATTTCCGCGCACCACCCTGCGGCAACCGTGAACGTGATCTCGCAGACCTGTTAAATAACTGGGGGAAAAAATACACCCCGTCGTTTTATCGGTTTCGACGAACAGGTGTCGTGCACGTAAACGTGTTTCGGTCAAGATTTCTCGGTAGGAATGAGAAAATGTCAATACTGTACTGACCGCTCGACACCAAGCAGAGGTATGCTGCGATTAAAATCTCCGAACTCGATTGACGAAACGAAATGTTGGCGCACTAAGAAAACGATTATTTTTTGGTTTAGTCGTCGGTTACGAAAATCGAAAACCGTCTGAATATCTCAGCAAAAAAACCTACTTGTTCGTCCCGCCGCTTACTCTCGACGACACCATTTACAACCCGCTTCCGCGCCGGTCGAACGCGATCGTTTCTCAATGGTCGCCAACGTAGTAATTATTTCGTGGCGGTGACCGGAGAGGAAAGAGGAAAAAAGTACGCTAGTACTCGTTCGACGTTTTTTTTTTTTTTTTTTTACTAAGGATCGATCAAGATTGATTTTTTTATTTTACACTCCCGTGGACTTTTACGGGGACGCACCGTAGCTCCGCACGAATACAATTATTTTGTAAATCCGCAACTCCGCATGCACCGTAATTCCGCACGGTCAAAAAAATTAACGTACAGTAGCTTCGCATTCTAAAAATATTTTTAACATCAAAAGTCCGCATGGCATAAGAGTGTGTTTTGAAAATTACTTTAAAAGTGGCCAATCCAAGGATTCACGAATTAAAAAAAATGATCACGTACTTAGACAAAACATACATAAAAAACGATGCAACATTTCCACCCAGTATTTAGGAACAAAAGAGAAGCAACACTGGAGATAACAACAAATAACTGTGAGTCTTTTCATGTCAAATTTGGTAATTTATTTACTCCAGAACATCCAAATACTGCAGTTTTCATTAAAAACGTATTAGCTATGCAGACTGATTCTCACGTCCGAATGAATTCTGCTAACAATAATGAAAGTAGGATAGTTAGAATTAAACAAAAAACCAATATGAAATTTATAAATAAAAACATATAACGACAGCCAAATTGATAGATATAATTTTGTAAAAAATTTGACACCATTTAATATTTAGTTTAATTTAAATTATAATCGTATTACATTTAATTTTATATGAACGACTACGATGTTTTGTTGTAAATTGTCTTTATTATTATAAATTTTTTTATTTTATTAGATTTTAGTTGTTACAACAAATAAAACCATAGAATTATATAACGACGGCCAATTGATAGAATACTGATTGTTTTTTTTTTTTTTTAAATTATGTACAAAAATGTATACAAAAATTATTTGCGGAGTTAGGGTGTTAAAAAAAAAAAAAAGTGCGGAGTTAAGGTGTTAAAAAAAAAAAAAACCTTGTATGCGGAGTTCAGGTGGTATATTACAAAATGGCCAAGCGATCCATGCGCAGTTACGGTGCACCGGTTTACGGTACCGAAACAAATGTTTGTTGTTCACGTGACGTTTTCCGCAGGTTTTTCCTGATGCATCTGATCAACAAACCGGACACGGAGTACACCGGCCAGGAGACGTACGTGTGGAACATGTACCAGCAACGGTGTTGGGACTTTTTCCCCGTGGGAGATTGTTTCCGCAAACAGTACGAGGAAGAGCTGGGCGGTGGCGGAGGAGTTTGATCACGGCACGTCGTATTTATTTTATATTCTATATCAGTGTTGTTGTTTCCCCCCCCCCCACGTTGCGTGTCGTAACCACTCGTCGCGATACGCCGAAAATATTATCATATTGTGTTGTGTTTTTAAGGACGCGCGTCCGTTCGCGTTACTTCTATCATCAGTTGTAACGTCTGTACACGTGTCCTACATCTCAACAATATCATGTACGTGCGTCGATCGATTTCTCGGTCGAGCTACGCCACCAATTTCACTGGAATAACGGTGTGTATACGAGTTGCGTATCGTTAATATTAATATCACTGTTGTTGCGGCTGTACAATTTTTCTCGATAGAAACGTCAATTATACACAATATAAATATAATAGATCAACGAACAAACGAGTTTTTATTCGGTCGGAACCTCAAATGACACGACGTCGTCGAGGGGTCTTCCTAATGAATTTTAATAAAAAAAATACCCAAACCGATTATTACGGTAATACGGTACCTATACCATTAGTACACACGATGAAAGTTTATGAATACGAAAATTAAAAAATAACAATGACTTAACTTGTAATCGTTTATTTTTCTTTTTTTCTGAATTACTATCCGTTCGTCTAGATCAGTGGTTCCCAACCGGGGGGGGGGGGGGGGGTAATTCAGATACTGAACGGGAGAATATATTTTTGATGGTATAACAAGAATTTTGTAGTTGAAATGATTATGTTATCTTACAATTAGTAAAATCGAAAACAAATTAATTTTCGGACTGTTGCCCATCGATTATTTATAAAATTGTATTTAAGAATGATAAATGTATTAATTATAAAGTTGATTTCTATTTTATTTTTAAAATGATGATAAAAAAAAATGTCATTAGAAGTATAATATAATATTATAATGTATATGTATAAATATAGTTCTTTTGCAAAATTTTCTTTCTACGGCTTACTAAAAAATGGTCATCTTATTTCTAATTTAAGGGAAAAGGGTATGAGATTTTTGAAAATGTACAAGGAGGGGAATGGAATAAAAAAGGTTGGGAACCACTGGTCTAGATAATGTGTACACTTGATTCATTTTTAATATAAACACAATAATAGTTGTATTTAGAAATTATTTTTGAGCAGAGTTTGTTGAAAACTAAAGGCAATTTTCTAAAATACTTCTTACGCTAGTATAAAATATGTACATATAGCAAGGATAGGTGTAGTCAATTTTCATTGAACGCCGAGTTTTTTCAAAAAAATAACTTCTTATAAAAACTAAATATTATTTAAAATTTTCTTAAAAACCAAGAGGCCATTTTTGCGATCCATTGAGAAATGTATATTGAGCACACTATTACCACCAATTCTTCTAGGGTCTTGATATTGGGGGCTTGGCCAGGGCTATGCGGAAACGTATATGGCCATGGCTTTATATTAACAAAAAAAAAAAGTTAATAATCATAAAAAATGTTTAAATTTAAATTAGCTAATCGATTTATTTACAAATAGAAAAATATGTATGTTACAAAAATTAGGATAGTAGTGGATACTAAAAATACTGTATATAATATATGTATAAATATTTAACATGTATTGCTATACTTTATGCTTACATGTACAAGTATTTATGTGTCGTATACCAATAATTTTTTTCTTCACTGAAGTTTCCTTTCAACTTATAAAATAAACATAAAATTACAATAATGGTCAATCGATCTTTGCGGGCCATAAAAAAATAGAATAATCAACAAATTGTTCTATGACTAATAATAATAAGAAATAATAATGACAATATCATTTTTACTTTTACATTTTCGCCCATAGAAATTAATTCTTACAAACTACTACATTACCCTGTATTAATAACATTACAATAATATTAAAGGCCCCTAAAATAATCGTTACTTTTGTTTACTTATAAATTAATAGAATAATAATTGTCGTACATATTATTGCCAAATGTTTTAAAGGTAGATATTATCAATAAATATACAATATTAATATTTACACATAGAATGTGGTTACAACTTAAAATTAAAATATAACATTTACATTATATTTAGGTACATATAGTTTAATTTATACTAAAGCATGTATGTTTGGTCGAAGTAAAAATATTCATATAAAAATCACATAGAACCTATACAATATAAAAGTTAATGTATAATAAGACTTTAAAAAAATTATGTTTACTATGTATAATAAGACTTAGTAAACGTAATTTTTAAAGTCAAATTTACGTTTACTATGTATAATAAGACTTAGTAAAAGTAAATTTGACTGAAACACGTTTGAAAAAACCCCTGAAACATTGGTTACCGTGTACAGTGTAGTGTAAAATACTTAATTGATAAAATAATGTTAAAAAAATACACAAAAACATTAACAAAATGATACATAAATAATGTTCTAGGCAATAATTTTGATTATTAAGTTTATAAAAATAATATACAAATAGATAAACATAAAAAAAAATAATATTCACTAAGCGATTTTTTCTAAAAATAAAAAACAAAACAATTAGTTACTACATAACGAGACATCATCTCGTACAAGATTCCCACTCATTCAAATCAAACAGTGGTAGACAAGGTCAATGAAATATATAACATTCAATCTATCAATGGGATAGAAAATATAACTACATAAAGCGGGTAAAAAAAAAAAAAATATATAAAATATCACTCAACAAGAAATATTTTAAAGATATGCACATATAAATAGGAGAAATGAGAAATACAAATTCTTAACTAGACTAGATTGCTTTGAGACTAGAAATCAACTTTTAAACACATAAGAGTATTGATAAATAATAATATTAATAATAATAAAAATAATAATAATAAATACAATTATTATATCATTTTACCATGAACCCTAAGACTAAAAGAAACTAATCGAGCAAGAGTCTAAAATCTTTTCTGTAAACTAGATTTTATACAATAATAATTTTCATTGTAAATGGACAAAAAATAAGTGATTTGTCTACATAAAACTATCGATTGTCTTAGTATATTATATTACGAAAAGAATTATACTTTAATAATACCGTATACATTAAAAACTTAGATGAAAAACAAACACGAATTTAATTCCTAAATGAGGAAGTTTATTAAACTTCCTCATTAGGATTAAGTATTAATTATTAATTAAGATTATTCCTTTTAATTGATAATATAGATAAACACACATTATATTACATAAATTATTATGATAAACACTTTAGATATACAATAGGTTGTCATAATAAGTAAAAAAAATTGTAATTAAATTTTAAAGATCAATTTTCTTAAGGTTCTACAAATATAATGAAAGGATAGAAGAAATATTAAAACGTTATAAGAAATGTAAAATAAATACAATTATTATAGCTACCTTATCAATTAATCACTATTGTGAATTAAATTTAAGTTACTGTCACTGCATTAATAAAAAATATAATAAATATTTTATATATTTATTTAGAACACTTCCTTTTTTTTTGCTATCACATCTTATTCAAACTATAAATATTGATATTATCACATACAGAGAAAAAATACCACATAGACAAAAAAAAACTGTCAATGAGAATTTTATTCCATTATTTAATCGAAATTAACAATGCAGACACATATTGAAACATACCTACGTTATATCACAGTAAAATGGTCTCAAGCGACGAAAAAACCTATTTATTGTATTCCTTTTTTTGGAAAAATGTCGTCGCCGATGACGACGACGTTGTATGTTATTTAAATATCGTCATAACTTTTTCATCGTCTTCTTCGTCTTCTTCGTCATCAGAGTGTTGCACTACGATCGGCATGATGGGAACGGTTTTGTATTTGACTCTCTTTGGGTCGAAAGGATCAACTACGACGTGTTCCGTGCCTTTGATCTCGGCCCGACAATACGGACAACCCTGTCCATCGGACTCCTGGAAAAAAAACCCAAAGTGTGCTTTGTTATAGTAAATTGTTCCCATGTAAAACCGATAAAATCGAACGCGATATCAACAAGTTCCTATTGATAAATAACGACTTACCATCCAAGAATTCAGACATGGAGTACATAAAAGATGACCACACGGTTCGATTCTTACGTCCTTGTCATTTTCCGTACATATTTTGCATATTTGAAAAGTTGACCCCATTTCGCAATACATTTCGTATTGTTCGTGAGTAACTCTGATATGGTTTTCTGGACTTTGTTCCACCGCGTTCGATAGATCTGGATTTCCTTTTTGTCCATCCGGATATAGATAACTGAAAATTAATATTTGTCTAAATAAATTATTACAGAACAAACGCGAATATCGATAAAACAAAAAAAATGTTTAACACGAAAAATAATAACCCTGAAATCAAATGCCACAGTATGAAAGAATATCAAACATTGAAAATGTATAACAACCCATTTAAGTTTTAAGCACTTTTTTATATACATATACAGAACCATACTCAGGAGGGGACGATGAGACAGTCCCCTCATAATCTTTTTATTCTTCATATATTTGTTATTTATTATTTATACCATACTAAAAAAATATATATGTTACGGCTAAAGTCCGAAACATGGCACATAATCCATACAAGTTGGATAAAGTAAACACTTAACATTTAGAATCATCGTTTCGTATATTAACTATTTTATACATTAGCCATTGCTTGATGTACAAAATGTACAAAATAGTCGGTTAATATACGAAACTATGATTCTAAATATTAAGCGTTTACTTTATCCAACTAGTATGGATAATGTACACATTATCCGGATAGTGTCCACTTGAGCCATGTTTTGGACTTTATACGTAAAATATATATATATGTGAATACATGTATGAAGTTCGTCCCCTTTTATAAAAGGGTCTAGGATCGCCATTATACTTATAAAGGAATAAAAAATTATGACATATATTTGTTCTCAAGTTATCTACTTACAATCCTTCGCGGGCGCCATCCAACAACGCTTGGCATAGAGATTTGTTTTGAGGAATGGTCTGTAATATTTCGCCTTCTGTTGTCACGTAACCAATAGCCCATTGTCCTAATCGTGTGCAGCTTAGGCGGAAAACATAACTAAATAAAACCAATAGGGTTAATAATTAGTTATATAAATATATACATTTTAAACAAAGGAAAAAATTGATTTGTGTTCATTTTTATTAAGCTCAAAACAATGCTTAGAATAATTTTTTTAATTCAGATATTTATTTTACTCAGCATTTATCATTCAATGGTCTTTTATTGCTTTTAAACCTCAGGAAAATCACCTTCAATAAAATTCTATATCTCACCAACTCAGAAATTTTTCCTTATACTGATCTCATTTATAATTTTTCATTTCCAAAAACTATCAGTCTAATTTAATTATAACTATAATTAAAATAAATATATATATATATATATATATACAAATAAATATAATACAAAAAGTTCTAAATCTATATTACAAACCTTCCTGGTCTAGTGATGAATTTTTCTAAACGAGCTTTTACTTCATCGTATGTTAAAAACGCAACGTATCCCGGATGAGTTACAGCTAATATCTTCCAATTTCTTAGTAAAGTCGGCCAAGGTTGAAATAATCTAAACAATATTTGTATATATTTTTTAAATATATTAGATATAGATTAAATATATTATTATTACAATAACTATTGGTAAACTAAAAAATTATTTTACCTAGTAAAAACATCGAATTCAAAATTGGATATGTAATCATTGCATGTTAAGTCTATTGTTGATTTGAGAGCCATCGCTTCAAGTCCACTTACAATTGGATGGACATCATGAAGAGCACTTCGAAATAATTTCCAAGGAACTACAGTGCTACATATAAAAATAATAATAAAAAACGCTTAATTACTTATACGTGTTAACTTCATTGGTGAAAATATCTACACTAAAAAAAGTCATATTTCAACTATATAAAATATATATAAAACAATAAAAACTAGGAAAAAATATATTAAAATTATTAATTAATGTTATTTTTTAAACCACTTATTGAACAAAAGACGACGATTTGCCTAATTTATACTTTTCTCTGAAAATATAATTATCATGTAAAAAATTATTTAATTTAAAATTAAACTATTATTGTAGTTTACTATTTTTTTTATGGGGAGTTTCACAAGGTGGTCAGGGTATGAAGTATTTTAAAAGTGAGTTGTGCCAATATAAATATTAGGAAACACTCAAAACAGTGGCGCAATTATTGGGACTGTTGGGTGTACAATTTACCCCAAAACCGAGAGCCCCGAAATCTCTTCTGATATTACCTTTATCTCTAACGATATTTTTACTATATTATGTAATATACATATAGTATATTATTTATTTTAACATAATAATAATAATAAATATTAATAAACTAGGGCCTTTAGTAAAGGCCCTAGTCTGGACATTTTCGCATAGGCCCCTTATTATCAAATTGAGTTAATGACTCATACACAAAAAGTATACATAAATGTATTATTTAGTCATTAATCAACCATACAAATATTATCTTATAGTTTTTAATTCATGGTGTTACATTTGTTATGGTACTGTGAATGTAATTCAACAGATTTAAAAAAAAATAAATGTTAGTGTTTTCTATTATTATGTTTATTCCCGATAATTTATTATAGTGCTACGAAAATATTAAATAATATCAATAGAAATAGTAACATATTTTACTAAAACAGTTACATTGTCAATATGTAAACATCAATTATATTGTTTACTTTTTATGCACTTGATGAATCATACGTCTATAATGAGTGCAGTTATGTTTCAATAGCAGTAATCGGTAATTATATTATATATTGATTTTTAAGTTGGTCTATTATTTAATTACACAAAAAATATTTATACAATAATATAAAAGATGTATTAAAAAAAAAAAAATCATGTCAAATATTCAAATTAAAAATTCTAAACTAAATGCATGGGTCATATAGTTGTATCACATTATAATTTTGTTATTTTTCAATTTTTTTCAAACGTATAATTAATTATAAATGCAAAGTAAATTCAACACAGAAAAATATTTAATAAATATATTTCAATATTTTGAAAATTTAAGAGAAAATATATCTGTTTTTATACCTAATATATATATATCAAACACTAACTGTTCTCTCCTAATACAATTTAGGTTTAATAAATAAATGTTCAATACGTGTTAAAATTGATTTATTTAAATGTAATATATGTTAAATTTAACGGTGGTAAGGAGCTTTGATTCAATAACATTCTAATATTAGAAATACTTAAGTGAAACATTTTTACTGTTGATTTGATTGGTATATTATAACTGTTATTTATTAAAACGCTAAGCCTATATTTTAAATTAATTCATTGTATGGTTTTTTAATCGTTTACTATATAGAGATAAAAAACTGTTTTAAAACACTTAGTAATATGGTACCTGTATTTTATTCTTGGCACTCTTTATATAATATCAGTAATACAATAACAATAAATAACTAAAATACCCGAAATTTTAATTTTTCTCAACGATCTGCATGTACTGATATCGTTATAAGCTTTTGTAATTACTATGATAGATAACTCAATGAACACGTAATGTAACAATAGTTAATATATATGAAAATTTAACACGAATTCAAGAATAGCCACACGAACACATCAACCATCTAGATTTATATATTACTTATAATATATAAATTACTATATTAATTGTAAAAACTCAAAATTACTCCCGATAAAGTTATTTTTGATAACTCAAAAGCTATACAACTTGAAGAAGAAAAATTGTAGTTTAATAAAAATGATAGGTCGTACTATAAAGTTTACGAACAATAGTAAAAAAAGATTATTAAGACATTAATATAATTCTGTCCGTCTGTAATCCATAAAAAATTAATAAACACATATGCATAGTTATATTTGTCCTCATTAAACATAATATTAAACAAATAAACATGCAACAATAAATTATTAATACATAAGTAATAATGTTTACCCGTTTAATATAAAGTAAATTAGTTGATAATTAAATTGTTTATCAATTTTAGCATAAAAACTTCAATCCGATTGAATAGAATTTTTATTATTAACTTTTATATTATAATAAATCGCAACAATTTAAATGTAAATTAAAAATTAAAAAGATATACTAGATATATTATTAAAGAATAATTGCCAAATAATTAATCAATTGTCGATGTTATTTTTTAATTATGTAATGTTATATGATTACGTGGTTATAATAATAGTTTAATATTCGTTACTAGTATTCAGTATTAATATTCAGCCTTGGGGAAATAATGATTTTTAAATTTTCAGGAAAAAAAATTTTATGTTAAAAAGCCCTTTTGTTGTTGATGAATTTTTTAAGTACTCTATTTTTATTTTCATTTGCATAATTTTACTATAATAGTAATCATCAGTTTTTCACTTTTAGCAGGGAAAATAATTACCTTTTTCTATGGAATAAAAAAAAAATGTCACTTAGTCCCTTGAGCTCAATTTTTACGAAATTAAAGTTAAAAAATATAAATCGATGTAGGAAGTGTATAAAAAAAATTAAAGGGACATAACCCCTCGCAAGTTTAAACTAAAATATAAATTAAATTTTAAGCACTGTCACTAATTTAAACCAATTTGCTTTTATGTTTATAGTGAGTTATGATTAAGCTTTAATCGAGGCTTTAACAATTATGTAGAAATATCGAGAGAAATATGATATACGATAAATTTATAAATACAAATATTGCAATATTATCAGTCATGCTACAATGCACGAAAGGGCGATATTTATTGATCTAAAAATGGCTCAGAATTACAAAATGTTTAAACAACGAACGTCTAGATTTTTTAGCACAAAATGTAAACATAATTCACTAATATATGCTATTAATTTTTTTAGAAATTAATAATAAAAATACATATTCAATAGTAAGAAGAGAAAGGTTTAATTATTATTAAATGGAATAATATAAAAATTACCCACAAAAATGAATTAATATACTAGAAGGATTTAATGTATTAAATAAAAATTACAAAATTTTTGTTTTAAACACAAAATTTAAAAAAATCAATATATTTTTCAATTAAATATCAAACTTTATGAAATCAATCAAATTTATAAATTCTTCGTTACAGTTAATTTATTAGTATTCAGATATTTTATATTAACAAATGTTTGTAATAATATGTGAGCTTTTGGTAATGACTCATGACTATTAACGTTCCGTAATACTAATTCGTATATAAAAATACAAACCATACATAATGCAATTAAGTTGTTTACTCTCGCATGCAAATAGGTTTTTAATACTAAAAACGCGGAAATATTTATAAAAACTGTTGCATGCAATTCGATTTATCTGTTTCCTTTTTTTTTTTTTTGCACGCAATACGGATGCAACCACTTATACATATTAAAGTAATATCTACGATGACCGGTTTTCATATTTTTATCTTTGTAGTAAATGTAATAATAGGTCGATGGATAAGGATTAGGTAGCTCGGTAAGGATAAATATCATGCACTTACGTCCGTTTATCTTATATATTATATACACAACCAATTTAGCAACCATTACTAGTCTACGTGCTATTTGAAAAATGTACTTATATTGAATTACTCAATAAATTGTAATAAATAATATTGTAGTTCATTGATAAGAATTGATGATTAATAAATGTGGGTATTATAATTTTTTAACAAAAACATTTTACAAGGGTAAATATAAATTAAAACTTATACGTAACTATTTTCTACTATATTGTTTTTATTTATAAAATAATGTATTATATTATAATGATTACATAACCTTCAAATTAATAATGTTATTATAAATTATAGTTAAGGTACTAATAAGAATTTATGAAAACTGAAAAACCACTAAAAATAATAAAGTGATGTAGATGTAGTGAAGTATGATTCAACCATCTGATAAGTATATAATTAAAAACAATTAAATTTTGTAAGTCTGCATAGTAATTTAGGGGAAATCAAATTTAAAAAGAAACGAGACTTTATCGACCAATATTTTATAGAATATAAGCCATATTACGACTGTTTAACTCAGCGTAATTATTTAATTTGTATACATTAAATTTATTTATAATTTTATGAAAAAACAAAATGATTTTAATTTCAAACCAATAGATAACTGAATGCTTAAATATTATAGGAATTATAACAACATATAATATTTTCTGTTATAAATTTAAATTTAAAAACATCATATTTAAATTAAAAGCAACCTTCTTAACTGAATTGTTAAATTTGTTAAAAACTTAAAATAATAAATTGTTAATTAATAATTGATTGGAATATTTTATAGATTTTAAAGCAAATTAAAATAAAAAAATTGAAATCCTGGTAACTGAAAATATTCTATAGCTCGAATAAAATATTAAATCTTTTATAATAAATAATGTTAATACTGTGGTAATATTGTGTTTACATAATCCATTTTTTTTCTTTATCATATTTTGATAATATTGTTATAAAGCATGTGTACAAATTTCAATATTGAATGAGTTGATAATTATTTATCTTTACGCGTTTGTCCTAGTTTCCTATTTCTAACACTCATTTATACATTAAAAAAATATAAAAACACACAAAAATTGGTAAAATTTTTAATTAATTTTACTATCTAGGTCATAGTAAAATAATAATTATATTTCTAATATAATATAGATATAACCTATACAGGAAATATATATGTTGTTATAGATATAGGAGTCTTCCTAATGTAATAGAATAGTAATATAATAGAAACTATTTGACATCATGATTAGTTTACAATAATGTTAAGTACATATAACAGTTTTCATATTTAGAAAACTATGTCACAAGAAAACTATTTACTCGAAAAAACAATCAAAAAACCTTGAAAATAATAATTTTATGGATATTAAAATAATCAGTAAAATGTGAAATGTAAAAAATAAAATAAAAAATATACAAAAAAAATAAATAGTTTTATTAAGCATATGAAATAAATTTTGTTGGATATAAAATATATATTATTCGGTGTTCAAAGATTAATACACTGTTTTTTACTGTTACTCTAGGGTTAAAATTACCTTATTATTAATATGAGGTAAATATTTTTTTAAAACCCACATTTCAAACAATATAAATTAGCTTACCTCATTCCAAAGTTTGACCTCCAGAATTCTGCAGCATCACTTTTAGTTATCCTAAATTTATCACCTGCAAATCGATGGTTTGGAAATAATGCTTTGAGTTCACTGAGCATATGGCTGAACACTAAACTCAATTTAGTCAAATTTCTCCTATAATGAGAATTCTCATCATACATTTTCTCCTTGCCCTCCTTGAATAGTTTAATGGCCTGTTTGCACTTTCGTATCACATTCAATATGAATACATTGAAATGTTCATTGTTATACAGTTCGGAGAGATCATTCTCATACTGTGTGTAAATGAATCTGAGCCGCTGATAAGTGTCAGGCAATATGTCGAGTATGAACGGTGGAGAATTCTTCAGGTTCATCTTGGAATGTTGACATAATTTGACCACCTTGTCCATCAGTTTCCAAGTCTTCTCAAGGGTACGCTTGTCAATGGACGCCTTGGGTGACGTTATAGCTTCCGCGAATGCGCCATGCAGTTTCATCAATATCGAAGCCAGGTTCCTCGGTTGTATCATTCGGTTCGTACTCGATGACATCATGACGTGAAAACACATCAAACGGCCCGAGCACCGAACGGGCGGATGTTGCCACGGAGAACACTGGAAGGGCTTCACCGACCGTTCATATCGTCGTCGTCGAATAGGTACGGCTGCGGCCAAATGTAACAACGTCGTCGCACGTCCCGGGTAGTAACGACGGCGAAACACTTTCTACGCGGAATCACTTGTACGCCATGGTTGTCGACGGGTGTTGACGCGCGCGAGTGCGCCGCTCGAACGGAGAACTGATATTTCGATTTAACTGCACGGGATCCGGACGCTCGACACCGAGATTGAAACGGTATTAATCATCGTTGCGATTATTATTATTACTATTATTATTAGGTAGATAGAGACGGGTCGCAGGTATTTATTATTATTATTATTATTATTATTATTATTATTGTTCCGTCTACGGCTACGGAGAAACGCGTATCGTTATCAGAGAAACACTGAGCAATTATTATCACGTGCGGGGGTAGTGGGAGACGGTTAGCGGACGGGTTTTCGACTGGTCCGCGGTGCGGTGCGCAACGTTTCGTCCGCGTTCGTTCCGGTGTGAACTCTCGCCTCGGTCCGCGTGTGCAACAACGACGACTACGACGCGACCGACACACTGCCACGACCGGCGGCGGCCCACCGGCGGAGCGCAACATCCAGACGACGACGACGTTGCCCGGTGATGCGGCGAACATATTGTGTGACGTGTCTCCTCCCCTCCCGTCATCGTTGCCGCCGCCTCTTCACGGTAAACGTCCGTCGTCGGTCTTCTCTCTTTTTTTTTATTATTATTATTATTATTTTTTTCTTCGTACGACGTGACCCCGGTTCCGGCGGCGGCGGCGGCCGATAATGCGCACAACGTTATTACCGTACACGTCCGGTCGGGGGCCCCTGTACGAAAGATCTTCGACGAATCCGCACGGCGCAGCCATCCGCCTGCGGACTCGCTCCCGAAACGTATACACTCTGTATATTATCGTAACAGTCAGACGCGTATCACAGTTTTTTTTTTTTTTTTCAGGGGAGTTTGTAGAAAATTTAAAAATATAGCTAATATATAGGGCCCGGATTTAAATGCACTTAAACCCATATAAATGTGCTCTAAAAAGTAGCCAAAAATGTCCTTAAAAAATGCGTTTTACCTTAAAAATTACATATATTTTTTTTATTTTGGTCATTATTTAACACGCTATTAAATACATTAAAATATAAATATAAAATAATAATAATAAAAATATAAAATATAAATATTACGAGCAACGTCCGCGATGTTCAGGAACTGATTGATATTTGTTATTTGACCGAATACTGATGACGTTCCACAGTCAATAATAAATTATGACAAGATAAAAATTTAATTTAAAAATAAGCAATTGGCAATGTGTATGGAAAAAAACCCGATAAACCTATTAAAATATTAAGAATATAATTTATCTTTTGATTTTATTTTGTTTTTAAATTTGTTTAGTATACTGAACAAATATGCATTAAAAAACAACAAAATGACCCAATAATACAAAAATCAAAAAAACCGTCGAAATACGCAAAAAATGCAAAATAAAATTTGTAGCTTTGAAACCCTTGTTACATGAAATTAATTATGTTCTTAGAAAGCATTGTGTATGATCAACCAAAAAAAATATGCACTTTGCATTAAAATCCGGGCCCTACTAATATATACATAAATTATTCACTCAAATTATGTATATTGATATAAAAATTAATACAGTTAACAAAAAAAAAAAAATCAAATTATAAGTTGAAGTCGTCTGGCTCTCCCACTGTTGGCAAACTTGTTTGAAACATTTTCATTTGTTATTGAAATATCTCTATGAATTTAATGCTAAAAACCGACAAGACGATTTTCAGAAGTAGAATTTCTTAAATAAGTTTTTAGTCTTCTCGGTGTCGAAAAATTACGTTCCGCTGACGCTGTTGATACTGGAAGTATAGCAAGTATTTTTAGTACTTGACGTATATTCGGATACAACACTTTATCGCAAGAAATTAGAACATCTATGAAGTTTGTTGGTCGTAATGATTGATCTACTGATTTCCATTTAGTTATCCATAAGTCGTACTCAACCTCTATCGAGTCCATAAAACACGGTAAATCATCAATGTAAAAAGTTCTATGGATAAGATACAAATACTGTAATTTTCTACGTCTTACAAAAATTTCAGAAGACCCCCCCCCCATAAATACGCCCCTGGTAACACTTGTAACTCTGTTCACGAAGATCTTTACATTTACACTTGCTCTATTCGCGTACTAGGTACTTATTTTTTTTATTTTTTATAATTTTGACCGTCTATTTCTCGTACATTTCACGTTCAATTTTTACATTTAATGGTTTTTTATGTTTTACGTCGAAATCGTTAATTCGTTTAATTTAGGATATCGATTAGTGTGTTGCCCGACGAGTCCCGATGAATAAATGTTTAATTTTCTTTGGTTTTTCGTCGTGCTCTCGGTTTGGTCAATTAGTGTGCCGTGTGAAACGACCGTGTTCGCATTGTAGGGCGAATTCGGAGCGCGCCTAGAAAGTATAATCCACAGTGAGACTCGAGGAGAGACACCACAGTGATGAATCAATGGAGGAAAACGGGTTGCAGGAGGTATTGGGATATCTTAAATTGTCTAAATTAGTTCGAGATCCACCGTTACCGTACACTTTTTCCATTACTTTTATTTTTTTTCAATACTTATTCACCTGTTACGAGGGCTTTTTCTTCGCTAATCTGGTAGTCCCCTTCAGTGGCGTGGTAACGGGTTATTTTGCCTGATGTAATTGTGCTAGCTCTAGAAATGTATAGTAGGGGTTAGTACTCCTGAGTCGTAGTGTATCTACAATAAACAACCACCGAATAGTATTTATAATTATATGACAAAACTGTCGGTTTATATTCTATACCCTACAGAAATACGGTTAAGTAAAGCGCATTATCCTTGTAAGGTTGGATTAGAAGGCTGTTTTATATAACTGCACCAGGTTCTGAGATTTCGTCACCACGCCACTAGTCCCCTTTTATAAAAAAAAAAAAATCACGAATACAGCACTGACGAACTACACTGGTCTAAATCGTATTTCGAAAAATCGTACCGGACAATAAACTGGGCACTCGACTGTTATCGAATACATTTATACAACTCCGACTTTTGTGTTTTAAAAGTACTGAAAAATATGAAACCACGTATTTTCATAATGAACGCGTTTTTAATTTGGAAATACCGAAGAAATTAAAGACGATATATTGTATATTCATCTACGAGAGGTTACACCTGCAGGATGTAAATGATTTCAAGAATAACTCGTGTTCTGAAAAATATGCAATACATATAATTTGCATTTTAATGCTTCATCTAGATAACAACTTCATATGTTTATCTTATCGAGATAAAAATAAAAATTGGTATCAAGTTTGCATTTAAATGAAAATTATGGCCTACTAGATAAATTTATCTAGAGTTTTCACAAAAATTCTGCACTCGAACTCGATATACGATATATGTACTCGTATCCGATTATAATTTATAGTTTAAAACAGGATAATTTAATGAACTCACAAACATTGAAGTAATGGAATTAAAAAAAAAAAAAAGCTTGATTTATTAAACCAATATGCTGTTATAAAAAAAAATTTTTTATGTACAATATAATCCTTTCTTCATCAGCACATGTAGAAAGATTGTTAGTGGTGTTGTTTTAACATCGAGACGAAATCGTCTTGGTAATTTAACTATTGATAATCTTCTGTGTTATAAGTGTTAGACTTGAAAGTACTTATTATTTGTTATTTGATTTTTTTTATTAATAACTAATGAACTTTGATAAAAATAAATCTAACTTTTGTTTTTAGTAATACGAGTATATTGTTTAAGAAAACTTGTGCTTAAGTGTTGTTAATTATTATGTTTGTACTCTTGTATATTAATACACAGTACAAACATTACTCATTAGACAATAGTTTTCAGTCATTCATGGTCTCATGTCAACAGCAATACAAAGTCGTACGTGATTAATAATTAAAATATGTTTTTATGAATAAGAAATAAATAAACTTTATAAAAAATTCGTTCGTGTTATTAAACCATTCAACTTTAAATCTTGATCAAATTTAGGTTTTTGTAAATAAAATATGTAATGTCATTGAAACCACCTGTATTTCCTTCAGACTTAAAAATATTTATAGTACGTGTTAGTTAGATATCAGTTGTATTAATTTAAATTACCAAGGTATCAATAAAATTGAATTACTTTTATGATAATTAAAAACTTCTTAAAAGAAAAACCATGTTTTTAATATTTAGTTTCAATTTTTTGTTATTATATATAAAATGTAAAAAATGTTTATAATTTTTATCTAGATAAAAATTATTTTTATTTATCTATATCTAGATAATTTAAATTTCATTTATCTTACCTTTATCTAGATATTTTTTTTATTTGACTACAACACTGCTCGTATTACTCAGTTGGTAGTAATTATTGATGTTAAATATTGATATTTTATAACAGTTTTATAATTTATTTATCTTTAAGACTGAACGATGAGTTACTCGTTGGATAATATTCCTAAATGTCGTTTAAATATTTTAACAAAGCATAATAATATAACGATAAAATAATTAAGTTTATTCCTGTAAAAGTTGTTTTAGATATTTGTTTAAGGTTTAAACAAAATATTATGTCATGTATTGATTTAATAATATAAAGTCGACCATTTCTATTTATTATTTACATACGACTTGGTCCGTTTTCGTTTTTTGTTTTGATGTTTCCGGTGAAATAGTATATGTAGTGCAACGGAAATTTCACACGGTCCTGGCAGTCGCAATTGAAAAGTCAACTGTTTAAATAATGTAGTCCTAATAGTATATAGATATAGCGGTGGACAATGGTGGTCAAATAGTCGAATGCGGACGATTTGAAAGTCGGTTTACGGTTGTTTATAAAATAACATAACTAACATTTTTAGTTTATTTGAAATCGCCAAATATAAATTGTAATCTAAATTAACACACTAGTCAACATTTTCTTTAACGTCGATTTTTTGAAAAAAAATGGTTTTTCGATCAATCTATTATATAAAAATGTTTGTTCTAATCTTGTATCGCTATGTATACCCTACTATATTATACTATAGTAAGTTAATTTTTCTGTGATCGTTTTAAAATTTTTGTGATGGTAGTGAAAATTAATCAGAAAATAATAGTAGATATAATATAATTCTTGTAGAGTAGGTACGGTATATAGTCACATACAAACATTTTTCTAGGAAGGAAAAGTTTCAATATTTATACCTGATGTACAAGTGTAATATAAAATATTTTAGTATACCGGAATACAGCATATACTTTTTCATACAAGTAAAACAACTACCTTATTTTTGAAGAAAAAAAAAACAATGGTTTTCTAACTTTATAAAAGTATTGAAGAGATTTAATTAATTTAAATTATGACAAATGTGTGCATGTATATAAATGTAGCCAGCGGAATCAATATAAACCTTTTTCCTAAGCAGATAGTTTCAGTGAAATTAATAAACTCCTTACTATGTACCTATATCTGTAGTTAATTTTTGTTCTTTAGACTTACATATGATATGCATCAGACATACAAATATTACCTTCTTATATGTTATGTGGTATATATTATACATGATAAATATAATTTTTAAAATCATATTTTTACATAACTATTTTAAGTTATTGAAATACTACACAAGAAAAAATATGTAGTTAATTTCATTGTAATTAAATATACAAAATATATATGTGCTAATAGAAACCGAGTGCAGTGAGAAAATGCTATATATTACTCTCCTCCCGGTTGCCTATGAATTGGAACGGGTTTAAAAATTAGATTTTCAACGGTTCTTATTTTTACTTTGACAATTTGACTATTTTATGTACCTAATTATTACAGCCTTAATTATAATTAATGTATTTTGTAGTTTATGAAGTACTATTAAAAAAAAAAAAAAATGATTTTAATATGTTGACAGATGGTGTTCGTAATACGCTGTTTTATAAATATTCATAGTACACAAATACCAGTGGCACACACAGGGAGGGTCAGCGGTGTCAACTGACATTCCTCAGAGAATTGGTGAATGATTAGTTCTGTATGAACTTGTATGCATAATTGTTTAATTTAATACTAACCAATTTTTCAGCTATCCAAATTAACATACTAATTATATTTACCCTATAACTAAAACGTCACATGAGAATAAGTAGTAGGGCCCAATCCCAAAAATTATGCTATACAAACTTATAAACTAATACCCAGACAATTGAAAAATAATTAGTATTGGGTTTATTTAAAAAAAAATAAAAACCAAAAAACACTTAAAAATAAGAGTTATACTAAGCCTAAACTGAGATTTTACTGGTGAGGGTACCTCGAAATATATATTTTCGACACCCTTGTTAAAAATCTACTGTGTCCCATTGAGAAGTACATACAACTAACATTTACATTTTCTATTAAAAGTTAAGTAGGTATATGTACTAATGAGTTACACTATAATGTACTAAAATAAATTAATAAGTAACTAATAATAATTTATTAATTACTATACCTACAATTTTTATTTTTAATATGTAATCAACATGTACGAGTACATTTATATTTAAAATTAAATATTTTTTCGTTTAGAATTCTTTTTTTTTTTAACTATAGGTTTTCTTCAAAAGTATCCTAAGTCGTCAATATAAGTTCTTACATGAAAAGTATAAGCTAAAATATTCTGATACTTATATGGTTTGTATTGTGGATATCAATAAAAAACAATTCTAAATTTATTTAAGTGCAATAAATGAATCTGTAAATAATTTCAAACTCCGAACCGAAGAAATGTACTTAATTAAAACTATAATATTTGCTAGACAGCCAAAAATTATAAATAAATATATGATCAATTATAATAATGATGTGTTTTAGATAAGGTTTTTACCGGCTTGACTAATCAATTACTTCCACTGAAAAAAAAAATCTATGATAATTTTTACAGTTATTGATAACATTCATAAAGTCATGAATTAATGATGTGTTTACAATTTAGAATACTATTATTAATATTATTACATGTTTATACTCAGACCAGTATAATATCTATACAGATGTAATAATTGAATTTCCTGGTGACAAGCGGAGTGAAGTCCAGGCGCAAATACAAGGAGGAGCATGGGAGCGATACCCCCCTCCCCAAATGTCATGCAACAAAACTAAAAAAAATTATAATATTATATGCCAATTAATGATAAAAATTATATTTTTCTATAGCGATTATGTATAAACATATTTTTAATAACCAAAAGAAAATCAGATTTCGCTATATAATTTTTAAATTATATTAATAAATTTCATAGAATTAAATAATCTATATATATATGACATTTGTGGTTTGAGGAATCGTTTATGTTTATGAATGGTTAGGAAGATCTACAAGATTCCGCAAAATTTGAGGAGTCGTAATGTAGCCGTACGTATAGAGTAAGAAAATATCAAATAAAATAAGCTACGAAAAAGTACAAACTGATCCTAAAGGTTATGTAATAGCAGTGAAAATATATCATATCGAAAACAATTGTTTTTTATGTGTTTTTTTTAAACATTTTTTTAATCAATCCATTTTAAAATAATTCAAATTTCATAATTAACAATGGTTTTATAACTTGTGTTAAATTCCTGATAATTTAAGGAACTGTAAGGTTCTATACAGTATAATACGATATAATATAAAAAATACTGTGTTTTAACATTTCTACCTATACCATCTTATTGATAATATTGGTACATACCGGCTACGTGAAACCAGACATTAGACATCGCTATAATAGTTTCAAATGAGATAATAAAATGTTAACTGTATATTTAAGAGTTGCAAATGAAACGATAGCATCTTATAGTAAGTAAAAAAAAAAAATTTACTTCAAAAGTGTATTTTTTCTTTCTATATTTAGAAATCGTGTAGGTAACAAATGCATGAATTGATGGTTAGTTAAAAATGTTATTTTAAAATGTTTTAGTAAAATATACTAGGTTTTGGTAAAATATGTTTCGTATTCCATAGCATTGAAATTCTACCTTGATCATAAAGTCAAGTACCAATTAATTCATATTTCCAAGAAATTATTAGATTATATCAATAACTAAATATACAAAATTATAAATATTTTTATAACTTCTTAAGTAAGCAGAGAAATTATATTATGTAATAGATGCATAAATAAGTACTTGGACGTATAAAAATTAAAAATGATCAATGATACAAATGTGTCATATAAATAAAATAATAATAATATGGAATTAAAAAAAAAATAAAGTCTTGGATTATGATTAATTCTAGGATTAATGTGAGCTAGAAATAAATATATTCTTCTTTTTTTTTAAATGTTGATAGATTTCATATGAAATAAACTTGTAAATTTTAATGTTAAAACGTGTTAAGAGAGTCTAATCATCATTATAATTAAAAGATATGTAAGCGACACTTTAAAGAACATTTTGATGATTTCTTATTCTAATAACAGCAAAGGATATAAAATACTGGAAAATATTAAAGGAAATGGGGATTTTTTTTTATATTGCATATTATTTAACAAATAAATATATCAAGTTCAATATTTCAGAATAATTTATATTCATAGAATATGTCTTCTTCATAATGATGTATAAGTTTTCAATTTGAAGCCGCAGTTTTTATAATGATAATTAAATATTTAGCTTGACTCACAATAATCATAATTTTTATATTTATAAATGCACTTGACTTTGATATTGTTCAAATTTAAAAATATTGAAATACTTACATAAATGATAAACAATAGTACATCATAGATTATTTATATAATTATGTTGTGATAATAGTTATAATAAATAAATAATTAAAACAATTATATATTTGATTATTTTAACAATTTATAAAAATATATAATATGGTAATATAAAATATGATGGTTAAAAAACAATAATTAACATAGTCATAAACAATCAACTTTTATTCAAGTCCATTTTGAATTTTCTAATGATATGGTGATAATATTTTATAGATGTTGACATTATATTCCTGTAATACATTTTTGTTATAAATGTGATTTTTTTATAGAGTCAATTTAAAAGTGCATTGCATGGCCAAGTGTAGAAAATATTGTTTAAATATACTATAGGTACAACATTAAAATAATGCTAACAATACATAAATGCTTAGTTAAAATTAAACAAGTGCTTATGGGTTTGAAAACCAACAGGACAATAGAATAAGTATAACTACATAATCCAATACAAGTTAAATTACACATGCATCAATATAAATAAGCTTTAATTATTACTTGCAAACAATAAGTAACTACCAAAAACTTTACAACAAGATTATTAGTATTATTTTAATAAAATTCTGAATTTAAATTTTATCTATTAAATAAATAATGATACCCAATTATTTAGTTACAAAGATTCATTATGAATAACAGTTGTTCATAATGAATCAATAGAATTCAAAATAAAAATAATTTCAATCTTTTAACAATTATTGTTAACATTTTTTAATTATTTTTACTATCTTTAGCGATTTTCTGAACTAATAATAAATTAAATATGTGCATTTTGAATCACTTAATAAATTCTTCAAAAAAATGTAATTTAAAATAACAATATGTGATAATATTTATTATTTAATATAAGTGCATAAACACATATTTGTATTAACTGTAAAATATATTACTATTAATATTTTGCAAAGTTTTTTAAAAAGTATATAGTTTTAAAAATATAATATACAGAAATAAAATTATTGGTAATTATTATAACACCTATAACATTATTAGACTAAATAATAATATAACAATTATTGACTATAAATATTATTCACAGCCTTATAAAATACATTCTAAGTATAAAAATCATAATATATTCATAATTAGCTATTATTTTAACTTCTTTGATCTATTTATAACACAATATAAAATAACATTTTACTATCATAAAATCATAGTATGATCACCTGAACTGGCATGTCGGGATTTTGTATTTGAACAAAAAGCTTCAAATACTTTCAAGACTTTTCCATCATCTTCAAATGTTCTTTCAGCTAAAAACAAAAATTGTTGATTTATAATTTACATAATATAATAATTATTATGATAAGAGAATAGGTAAATTAACTAAATTTAGGATATAAGAATATATTATCAAATAAAATTAAATTTATACATTAAAATATAGCGATTATAATATGTTCTATTTATATTTATTCAAATTAAAAGTTGAAATAATTAAGTTATTGAATACCCTTTACTATTAATTATATTTTTACGAGAAAAACGAACTTACGTTTTTTTGCAACGCAAATCATTTTTTCATTAATGCTGTGATAAAATTGGAGGGGTGGAACTGATCTAAGTCTTGTCACGTCCCAAGGTATTCTATTACCTTTTTCCATCTAAAATTATAAATAATTAAAAATTAAAAATGTGCAACTAGATGAATAGGCTAACATTTTAATTTAGATTCTTAAATATAAAATTACTTTAGTATTTATTTACACATATTTTATTTTATATTAAAACTAAACAAAATATTAAATAGTGAAAATTAACATGCCAAAATGTTAATAATGTAAGGTTAATCATTTTTTATATATTATATTTACAATAAATGATAAATTAACTGTTCAGTACAACATTTTTCAAACGTTCATACTATTTATTTTATATTATATGTTTAATTACATGAATAAAAGATAATATTAGTAAAATGTAAATATATAATTTGTGGAATCAAATGTATTTTAATAGGAAATGAAATTTTATATTATTGGAAGGTACCATAATATTAGCTATGTTAGTCAGTTATTACTTTTTGTAGTATAAGTCAAGTCAATATTAAGTTATATGTCAGAATAAATATTGGCATATAAGTTAAATCACTATAGCCAAATAATTTAATACACATTGGTGGACAAGTTAAATGTGAAATACACCATTTTTTTGGCTATGTGATTCTAGGCATTTGTATATACTTCCACTTTTTTTAAACTAAATTACTAAACACAACCAAAAACAAAAACAAAACTATGATATATTGAATATTATAATATAATCTATTTATGAATTTTATTTTACACTGGAAAATAGTAAAAGGATGTTTTTAAAGAATTAAATTAATTTAGCAACCATCAGATGTTAGTTTCAAACTGTACAATTTGTATGAGACAATTAGCAACTCAATCACACAGCCAAATATAAATTAATATCTTGCCTGAATCACAACTGCCAGGAAGCCCCAGTAACTTTTTTTTAAGCCACCAATGTGCGTAAAGTTCAGAACGATATGTAACACCCGTTGAAAGTGGTACAGATGGTTTATTCAATAACAAAGAGTCATCTTCAAAGATACAAGAGTTAATATGGAACGATGAAGTACATTTACATAAATTTTCAGAATTGCTACTAGGTGTTTCTGTGGGTGGAAATGGTGACTGTTGGGTAACTGGAATCGTTATATCAGCTAGGCCAGAATCAGATGATCGCAAACTATTGTGATCTTTAAATTTATAAAATAAAAAATCTTGACTTATTTCTGTATCTTTTTCATTTTCACAGTCATTATTATAATGATTTGACATTTTAAAGTCACACAAGGAAAATGTACTATCTTGGTTATCAGATAAATACATTTCATCTTTATTATCTATATTTAACAATGGAACAGTTAAATGTTTAGATCTTATAAGTTCACAATTGGTTTCATAGTTCAAAAAGTTTTGATTATAATTATCAATTGTATCATCTTTGTATAGCGTTGACATGGTTAAGTCTTGACAGGCTTTAGTTTGAATAGGAGTGAATAACAGTTTTTTTCCATATACTATTTTTCCATCTTCTTTAAGAACCATTGACGAACAATGTCTTGGAGATGTCATATTATAATTATTAGATACATTATTTTGGTCCTCATATTGTGTTCCTTCTGAACAGTATTGTTTTATTTTACAAGAATATAATTGATTAGGTTCATTAGCATAGCGCCTAACAACTTTTGATGTATCAATATTATTAATATATTGAGTATAAAGGATTAATTTTAAAAGTGACCGAGTTATCACACCTTTGCATACTAAATGAGCAAAATAATCACTAAGAAGACCAAGACTCGGACTTACTGATTTGTTAGATGTTGTACTAATAATACGGTTATTTCCTAATTGCTTGTTAATTTTTTGTATCCAATCTAATTGTTCTTCCTTGGATTGACAAATAGCAACTATATGATCGATTAAAGAACCTGAAAAAAAGTAGAAGAAAATATAGGTTTGTTAATTGATATTTGAAGAATATAATATATTTTTATATTTTATGATTTCTCACCACATATTTCAAAAGCATTTTTAATGGCACCATTATTATCTAATTTCTTAACACTGATTCCACTTAACGGAAGTTTTCCCTAAAGAATAAGTGTAATTTAATTATAAATATATAAAATTTAAAATATTAAAGAATTTAAATAATTTGAAACAAAATAAATAATTTATTATTTAAGTAAATACAATTTAAAAGAAATAATTATAAGTAAATAATTAAATATAAATCTATGAATACAAGTATATTATAAGTAAAAAGTTAAGAACTTACTTCGTATATAAATGAACTAAGCCTTTGGGAAACAGATAGAATAACAAGATGTGTAGAAAACAACATGAGATATCTATCTTTATGTTCTGGACCAAAGGCAACAGAACCAATTTTTATTACATCACCTAAGCTACATGCATCTGCACCTTCCCAACCTTGTACAACTCCACTTAATATTGATAATTCCAATTCTTTTTGTTTTCTGGTTGATAAACATATAGCCTGTAAGATCATAGATTTTTTATTATCTTGAACTGAAACTTATGCAAATTACACGTACAAAACAATAGTAATAAAAAAAAAGAACAAATTATATCTGTAGTTATATTCCAAGCTATTTAAGTATAATAAAATGAACAAACCGCAATCTCTTTATAAATGCTAACTGATCGTTGTGTGTCTCCTCTGTCAATATGATTTTCTTCTAAGTGTCTTTCAAGTTCTTGTAACATCCCACTATATTTGTCTAATCTTCGGAATGGTTTACTTAATGATACAGTTAATACTAAAATACCTGGACTAACGGCACCTTGTGTTTCCATGATTTGATTTAATTCATCTCTAAAATGTTACATAATAGTTTATAATTTATTTAAACAAAAATAAAATATTTATGGTTCTTACTTATATTTTTCAATTATATTAACGGCACGTGGATGCGAAGAGCAATATTGTAAATGTACAGATCGAATAAAAGATGCTTTGTTAAGAAACAATTTGCCTATTCGTTGATCAGATTGTGGTAGTTCAGACACTTGTTCTAATGATTCTAGAAGCTCTTCGTGAATTTTTGACACCTCTTCAATATTATTTACTAATTGATTATACTCATCAACAGTCATTCTATAGAAACATAAAAAATTATAGTTAAATTATATATAAGTGTAATAATTCTAATAAATATATTACATGTTTGAGTTTTTCAAAGGCATTAAAAAACTTTGAATAAGTGTTTTCAATTCAGTAACATGTGCTCGTTCAGATTCTACAATATCCATGACTACCACTGCACGATTAACTCTTAGTTGCTCAGTCAAATCCACAGGTATGTTTGACATTTTATTATTTGTAACATTTTCTCCTAAAATAAAATAAAATATTAATCATTTTGAATAATTAAAAATTTAATTTCAGTAATTATTACCTTGAGATTTATATTCTCGTACATAATTCGATGGAAACCACCCAGTCTTATCTTTAAGTGTTCCTTCCCACCAGCCACCATCTTCTTTTTGTGTCACTACCACAATATCGCCCTTTTTCAAACACAACTAAAAAGTGTATAGACAAATTAGATTACGAAATACTATAATGATCTGTAAAATTATTTTCAAATGTATGAAACTATAAATACATCCATATTTCAGGATTTTCGTGCACTTCTATACATTTTCAGGCACACAACATACTTAAGATATGGCACTTAGTGAGAATAAAATATAAAAACAAAAATAAGTCATACCACAATGTTGTTCAAGGTCTCCTCTAAGGGAAATAAAATGATTTAAGACATGAAAATATAATATTACAGTCAAATAAATACATAAGCAAATTAATATTATTATAAAAACAGATATAAAATATTATTAAATAAGCAAACATTTATAAATTTAAATGTAATCAAAGCGCAAGCTCAAAGATTATAAATAATTTTACCTCATCATTATTTTTTCCTTTAAAAGAATATACAGCTTGTACAAGTAGTGGTTCATTTGAAGTCATTTCGTATTCACAATGAAAACAACATCAACTGCGACAAATAACAAAATTATTAATTCGCACAAACTTTATGATCTAAGACAACAAGAAAATAAAACTAATATAGCCTCACTTTACACAGAAATGAAAAAAATATGATTGATAAAAATTATTGTGAACTTCATGGTGTTTGTTATAAATAAGCATACCTAGGAATATATATTTTGGCAAAGTTACAGGAGTGACAAAAAAAAATTTTAAATATGGTATGAGCGTGTTAGGAATGTTGGACTGAAGCCAATTTATGGTTGAAAGTGTAGTGTTAAGGTTCAATATTTATGGTAGGTATCAAGTATTATACATAATAAGTTTATCAGAGTAGATATGTAAATTTAGACTTAATACCTACTCGTAATACATTGATTAACTCAAACTAAAATTAAACTTTGTCAAATATTTCAGTCATTGAAATTTTGTTACATCATACTTGTTAATTTCCAACGTAATTTAGATTTTTAAGATCTCTAATGTTATTGTTATTACAAAATAAACAGCCTAAATACTAAATACTTAAACAAAAAAAAAAAAATTCCAATAGATATAACAATTTTATTTTAGACTCGGAACATAGATATATATTTAATTTAAAAGCAGTATATTTATCATCAAACCAATATATTACAGTAGATACTGTGTTGGTTGTTAAATGAAATAAGTTTGTAAATGGACTTACCCATTAAGATGAACTTAAACCTACAGCGTTATAAATATGTATTTGTTAAAACTTTTAAATATATATATTAATCGTATATGTTACTTTATTAATAAAGGAAATGTAATTGTATTTTATTTTGTATAAATGTAATGTTTATTCGAATCCTTGTAGAACTCTTAAAACAAATAAATTAAACTCGTACTCAAAATACGTGTAACTAATTGCAATTATTTTTGGAAAAAATCACTAGCATAGAATAGTGATCATACTTAATACCGGTATTAGAATAATTTAATAATTTAAAATTAATTTTGCCTAGATTTACGAACAATAACAATATTTAAAGTATATTGTAAAGATAAGAGCTTATCAACACTCAAATATGGGAAGGCGATTTGAAATTCCAAAGACTTTGTAAACTAGTAGAGGATTTTGAGATTCGCGGTTCAAACGAAAAACCAAATAATTAATGAAAACATGAAACAAAATTAATTGTACATAGAATATTTTTATGTAGGTACCTATCATATTAAGATTTTAACGATATTGTGTTGAATTATTTGATGATAAAAATGTTAGACATTGATCGTACGCCGAATTGACTGTAATTATATCTAATTTCTGCACAATTATAATAATCAAAATAATGTTCCATTATCATTGCAGTGGTTTTATAGAATATGTATAATTTAAATTTAAAACGTACATACGGTAATACTAAGTCAGCGTTTCCCAAAGTGTATTCCGCGGAACCCAGGGGCGGATACAGAAGCCCTAAACGGGGGGGGGGAGCAATTTATTAGTTATAGGCTAAAAAAATATCATCTAATAAAAAATAAAACGTGTTTATTTTTTAAATAATGAAGAACTTTATGTATTTATTTAAAAAAAAACTTATTAATCTTTATAAATTACCGCTAATTATTATATGATAAATATTATATATAAATAAATTAATAAAATATTTTAAATTATAAAATCTTTTTCTCTATTATTTTTTGAAAATATTTCTATCGCTTCATCTATGTCAATATGTTGATCTCGATGAAAATGTATAATCGCCAATCCAGGAAGTCTTTCTTGTTCATGTTATTCTCTTAAGTACAGAAAAACAAATATGCGATTACTTAATTTATTCGATAAAATATCAATGTTATATTATATTTTTAACAAAATATTATCAAAACAAGATGATTGTAATCTGAACGATACGACAGCGACAGCAAGCCGCAAGTAGCGGTAAAACCATGATTGTATATGGCATGCATAATTAATTTAAAAATAGATTTATTGATTACTGTTATCGTAAAAGCTGCAGTAGTAAATAGTAATAGTGAAAGGGGATTAGAATAATAGGTACCTGTATATATTTTGATGGCCCAAATTCTAAAAATGAAATATTAATTACAAAAGTCAAATTTGATACTTTTTTTGTTGAACAGGGAAGGGCAACTGCCTTCATTAACCCCCCCCTTGTATCCGCCCCTGGCGAAACCTTAGGGTTCCGTGAGACAATGCTAAGTGTTCCGCTAGATATATGTGATTATTGAGAAACTTATTTTATATTATATTTGAAAAAATATTAGGTATTTCATATTATTTTAAAAAAAATGTGTTTTAAACTAATTTTAATAAAGATTAATCATTAATAATATTAACAGTATCATTAAAAACATTTTTAGAGTATTGATTTTCCAACAGTTTTTGTTTTTTAAAAAATTAGAGTTGATTTGGAATTAAAGACATTAGGGTTCCGCGAAACACAAACTATTTTTTAAGGGTTCCGTGGTTATAAAAGTTTGGGAATCACTGTACTAAGTGTTGATTATTCCTCGTTTCACTTCTCACAAAAAAAAAAAATCTTTTTAAAAATTATCTAGATAATTTATTTTAGATAACCATATTATTTAAAAAGATGGAAAAAAAAGATACTTCTAATTATTATTATCTAGATAAGATAAAAAGATTAATGTTTTTATCTAAATAAATCATCTATATAATGCATAACACTGGTTATTTATTTTTTTCTTATCAAATAAACCATATTAATTCTCTTTTAACCATTTTATACAGTATATTATATTACGTTTCAAATAAAAATCAATGAAAATCCATTGTGTTAAATGTTGACGATTATTGGAAAGTAAATTTTTGCACATGAAAAAGCACTAATAATAAACTTAAGTCTTACTTTCAATAAAAATTATTATACTCAAAATAACTTAAGTAGGTACCTATATTAATAACGATGACACTAGATCGATTTATTTGTTTTCGTGAAGGTATGTTATTATGTTGACGGTACATGGTACTCGTCTAATATGCTTTTTTAAAGTGGAAAAAAGAGATAAGGCAACTTTATTACCAATAATACAAAATGAAATAGAACTAGGATCAATTATTTATTCAGGTCAATGGCGAGCATATAGTACCTTAAAAGATATAGGTTATCATCACGAAACCGTCAATCATTCCGAGTTTTTTGTTGATCCTACAACGGGCGCCCAAACACAAACAATCGAGTGTATATGGAGACATGTTAAAACTAAATACGGAATTAAAACCCGAGGAGCGACAGATTTGTTAGACCGACAATTAATAGAAGAATTGTGGCGGTCCGTTAATACCCAACACAATTTATTAGAAGTTTTCTGGAATGATATAAAAATAGTATATGATGTATAATAATGTATAATGACGAATTGAAATATTATAAAAAAATAGTATATAATGTATAATAATATATAATTACGTATTGAAATATTATGAAGTACTTGACAATAGTAAATTAATAAATTATTTAGTAATAAATTGTTGTTAATTTGTTATTATTTTATGGTAGGTAGCTTATTTTACGGTAGGTAGCATACTACACCAACGAAGTAGCGGTAGGTAGCAAATTAGACGAGTACCCGGTACATAATTGTTATTTTAAAAGAGAACGGAAATGTTTGACGAGATCGGAAGAATCTTTCAAGACTATTATTTCAATATATATCATTATCTTCCTGTTTTTGTGTATTGTTATTAGGCGTTGAAAAAGTTTGCCGAGCATTCAATCTTCCACGAAATTCTTGAAAAATTCCAAAACCTGCTCCCTTACTTATAGAATTGTCCGACGTTGAATTATTTTCATCCCTAAAGATAATGTCATCAGTCATTCAATGTTCTCGTTACACTAGTAAGTGCTATACAATAAAGAAATCGAAATGATAAACACAAAGGTAAACGGTAATCGAAATTAAAACATGACTCTTTAGGTATAACATTTGTGTCACACCTGTACCGAAAGTTTGGTTTTCGACCACGGTCGAAGCGTTGGATTGTTTCATTTATCCGTCCAGCGAACGGTAAGACGGGAATCCCACAGTGGCTGGCGGTAAAATGGAAATCCCAAAAAGAGCGGGGGGGGGAGAGGAAAAATGGAAATCTACAACAACGTGTAGTAAAGTGAACATTTCCAAGAGCGCTGGCCACGTATTCCCAGCACAACCAGAAACTTAAATGCATACCACGGTCCGTACAAAACATAAATTTTCGGTTAAATCTTATACACGTATCACAACCTCCTTGAACGACGCATGAACATTTAAACATGTTTCGTTTTCATTGTTCCCACACGAGTGCGTTGGACGTTACGGATAAATTTGTTTTGCGCGATTTACATAATAATTCGAATTAGAAAATGAGATCGTTCGCGCAAGGGTCACGTCGCCGTTCAAATTATCCCATTTCGTGTTAACCGGAGCACCCGATAACGGTGTCGGCGTGCGATGTTCGAGAATTTTCGATCGGCGCGTTATCGCGGTACGATTTTCACCGGTCCCCGTGGACGCCATTTTACTGCCGCGATTTTTTTCCGCCGACACTATTTCTGCGGACGTCCGACTCGTCGTTTTTCCCGCGCCACCGGCCGTGTGTTTTCGTGGTTGCGGCATAGCACGGTGGAGTCGCCATCTCTGCGGACAACTTCGTGTATGTGATGACTGTTCGAACCGTAGCTGACCCGTGTCCGCGAAATTTTCTTTCGGTTATCGTTGTGCGCGGAGAAGCCAATTATAGTAAATCGAGATCGACGGCGCTGATCAACCGATTCATCTGCCGGTTGTGGCGTTCGTCGCACGTGTGAACACGGTCGCGTGGGCATAACCACTCGAACGCCAAACCGTCCAAGGTATTTCTCGTTATATTTGTTAAAAATAATATATTTATTTTTATACGATCTGTCTTGTTATATTGTTACAATGCGTTCGGGGCATATGTGATTTTATTGTTATTCTTAGATTTATCATATTTATTATTACTTTTTTTGTTAATATTACTGTGACGCTTTTGGCCCGTTTATCCCGGCATTTGTTATAATTTTATTAATTAACCTTGTTAAGCGTTCTTTTTTATTGCAAACGACGCGAGCACGTCATACAATCGAACCAGTTATGGTTTGACTGCGAAGCGCGCAAACAAGCATAAATACGAAATATGACAATCAGTACAGTAGTTGTAGTCAGTGGCGTATACAGAAAATATTTTTGGTAGGGGCTACTGTGGACAGAGTTAAATACCACTGCTATCTAAGAATTACTAACAAGACACAGTTAGGTAGGTACTTATCTACATTTCATTTACAGAATGTCCCAAAATGATTTGGCGTTGGACCCAAATTCTAAATAAGCATAAAGCACTATTAAAATATAACAAATGTTTAAAATAATTTTTAAGTTTTTTAAAACATTTTGAGGGGGGAGGGCTGTATTCCACTAGAAACCCCCCCCCCTATATACGCCACTGGTTGTAGTGAACCGTTAACTTCACCATACATGGTTAAAACGGCAAATACTGTGTTTCACTAAATCTATTACCTGAAAAATCAATAGATAGATATATACCTAATGGCTTATGAAAAACTTTTAAAATTGAGAAAAATAAATAAACCAAATCGTTTTCGGAAAATGTGTTTCTTACATATTTTAACAACTGATCTATAGAAATTAAACTGTCAACTTTATGGTCTATTTATTCAATGCTTAAAAGCATAAAAAGTATGAAAAATAATATTAACGTTGGAACTTATTTAAAATTACAAGTATTTTTAAAGAGAAAATCGAGTAGATTAAAAGTTAA